GGGGTGTTATTGTTAAATGTTGCATTGCGCATAAGAGTGACATTTTCCGGCAACTAAAGCAAGAACACAACAAAACAACAGAGTGGAAAGTGCCACCGTCGCACTCGTAAAAACTGAACTGAAAACTGAACTGAAGTCTGGCTGTCTGCTGCCAACCAATCGCCCATCCAACCGACACATTCCACTTTGCCACACGCATTCTTGCTAATTTTCAACCACCTTTCATCTTTCAACTTTCACCTCGCACTTTTGTTGCATCTCTGCTTCATCATTGCTGTGCGCCGCATACAGCTGGGAAAGCGCAATTGAAGTTGCCTTTGATGTTGCAATGCCCTGCTGGTGCCACACAACGTGTATGTGTGCGCAACATGTGGCAGCGTGCGGAAATTCCCAGCGTAATTGCAAACAATGGCAATTGCAAGTGCAAATCGATAGGCGCAAGCACATATTCAAACACACACTCACCGACGAAGCCAGCAGCATTCCAATTTGAGTTACAACAAAAACGTTCTGGAGCGCTTGGCAATTGCATTGTGCGTAAATTTGTTTACCGACTGCCTTTTGGAGGCGCTCACCTTTCCGGTGTACGTATGTATGTACATATGTACATGTATATATATGTGTTTGCGTGCATTCCTCTCAGCATCGCTGTTCATTTAGCAGCCGAAAAAATTCGGCCTACTTCGGCGCGTACGTATCTTGCACCTCAGCTTTATTTCTGTGCCGGTGTTTGTTTTTATTTTGGTTTTCCCTTTGTATATTTGCTTGCTTTTCTGCACGCCTGTTCAGCGTTGCTACGATAAACCCCTGTTGATAACCGCGCTCGTCCATCGTTTGCCAATAATCGGCAGCATCAGCAACCCCTCCTTTCACTCTGGCTTCGGCGCGACCGCTCATTTGCGCGTACAACCCCAGCGTGGCGCGCGTGCCAAGCATTCATCGTCGAGTTTTCGGCTCGTATCCGCTCAATTTTCCGCTGACACAGGATAATCCGACTTTTCATCCTCAATTTCGTTGTAATTCGTTAAACGATAAAAGAGAAAAAAAAAATATGCAGACAGACTGCGAACAACTGTTGCACTTGCCACCTGTGCTGGAATGTGCTAAATGTTTGTGAATGATTTGTTATGCCGATAGATGCATTTGTCAATATGTATTTGAGAAAGTATTTCTTATTTGAAGTTAATTATGGAATTAGGCAATTTTTATGATTATATAAGGAAAATATGTATATAAATGATATGTCATTGGTACCTTAGCAGACTCCAGTGATTAGGTTGCGCCATCTAAATTACCCTTCTTACACTTGCTGTGACTATTTTTACTTCCATCACCGTCTTCATAGTCGACTTTTTTCGTTTACCCGAGGGTTATGTCTGTAATGTTTATAATTTCATAACGTCGATTTATGAGATAAAAAAACCTTCCTCTAAGATCTGTCTGAGTTTCATCGCTCACCAAAAAGTAATCAAAACGTGAACAAAATTTTTGGCAATTTTAAAAGTCGAGATATAATTTCGGTTTAACTTGTAGGTTTTATGTTATTTTAAAAGTGGACATAATATTTTCAGTAATTTAAAAATCGGCGTATTTGCGATTTTTCAATGTCCATAAATTTATGTCCATGTTTTAGTTGACCAAAAATTTGTGTCCAATTTTCAAATAATCAAAAATGCATGATAATTTTTTTAACGAGCTAAAATTTATGCCCAATTTCAAAAAAAAAAACAGAAATTTGTATAAAATCTTTAAATGGCCAAAATTGTTGGTCCAATTTTTAAATTGCCAACAATTTATTTTCTGTTGCTAATAACAAAAAATGTATGTCCATATGAAAAAAATGATTTCGGGTTTCTAATAAAAAAAAATTTGTGCCCAGATTTTTATTGACCAAAAATGTATATCGGTTTTTACTCTTAAATATCAATTTTTTTTTTCAATTTTAAATAGGCATATGTATATGTATGTGTACATATGTAAGTATGTGTATTTGAGATTTATTTTTTTTTAATAACAAAAAAGTCGAATATTAATTTATAACCATATCTGAACATTCTTGTTTTTTTTTTCATCCAAACTTTCTCCGACTTCCTGCGGCTTCACTCATTACTCATTACTTCCGCAAAACAAAAACTCATAAGCTGTATGGAAGCTCTGTCGTGTCTCAATCAAAGTTTCTTGTCAATACTTTATCTTCAATTTTTCTTCACTTTATTCCAAGAAGTCGTCGCATTGCATTTGCATTTTAAGTTTTTCATTTGCAGGAAAGGAATCGCAAAAAACAACTTTCTTTCACAATTCCGGAGCGGCATACTTGCAGGCGCTGCCGCGACGACATGCCTATTTTTACGCGCATTGCAGTCGTCATTTTGCCAGGATTTATTTCAAAACAAAATAAAATCATTGCAAAGAGTTCCGCAAAACCCGCAAATGCAAAAGTGGAGCAAAGCAAAGCACAAATATGGCGGATAAAATTAAGACCGTTTTCGCATGTTCGACAGTTATCAGCACGTGGCAAACTTAGGCTACAAAATTATTATTGCATACCTTTTGGTGTCAATTGTGGCTTATATGTACATTTGTGTGTATGTATAAATGGCATACATTTGTTTATGTTTAAATTTTATTTACACAATTTCTTTAAGCTTTTGAATAAATTTGCTTACAATTATGCGCAAATATTTGCCAAAATTGCTTTTTTCTAAAAAAAATTATCGCATTTAAAGCCGCAGTGCCAACAGCCAAAAGTATGCAACAAGCAAAGAGGGAAGTAACAGGTAACTGAGGGAATTTTCAAAAGCACATACGCATATGATTGTCCGTATTTTCGTGTTTGCTCTCCTTTTTTCGTTTGCTTTGTATTATCCGGCTGTCAATACGAATCACCGCTAATCCCATTCAAATGCGTACGAAACCCAGCGGCTGCACCAAGCATAAGGTGAAAAGTAAAGAAAAGAATGAAAAGGCATGAGTCTGACTTAAAATTTTTCATATTTTTTTGTTTTAAGGTATCCGCTTGTAATTTCAGCCATATTCTTTACTCAACCGAAGGAGTTAGTTGAGCTTTGCAACATTTCAATAAATACCTAAACTTACTTGTAGCAGGTCAAGAAGAAATTTCCGAAATTTAAAGCTTGCCACTTTTCATTGTAGCAGCCGGTTTCTTTCCTGCTCTCCTTTTTTTGTTTGCTTTTGGCATTGTTTTGCCTAAATACTTGGCTTGCAAAAACTTTGAGTGCACAATTAACCCGCTTCACATGCTCCCGCACCAGCATAGCTAAGCCTGTCTGCAATTTAATACCCACTTGTGGAGCTGACACTAATACTACTACTTTTGCATACTCCTCTTCATACAAACAGGCATACACAAAATCACACAAGCTCCTCTAGCTATAAATATCCTGATATTGTAGTATGTCAACACCTGCTGAGCGCCGCTGTGTGCGGCTTGGCAGGAAGCGGGTATGTAAGTTCCTTGGTGCTTACACTCATTAAGCAACTTTTATTTTTTAAAAAATATTTGGCTTATCTGCTTAGACATCTTTAATAAACAGAAGCGGCAGTCAATACTTTGCACTCGCATAGTTATAAATGATTTTATTTAAGCCCAGCACACTTGCTTTGGCCCTTTTTTCCTCACCCAGTCTATGCTCCTAGAACTATGCTTCACGTGTCGACATTTTCATTCGTGCAACAAGCGGGGACACACTTCTGATTAGGTTTTCTATTACAATTTCTTTTTGTTATGTTTCGTATGAAGAGTTATGGATGTGTGCGTGTGTGTGTGTCGGAGTGCGTGTGCAAGTCATAGTTGGACAGCAATTAGTTAAGGGTTAAGGGAGGATGTGCATACATAAATGCCGGCGATTCTATTTCAAAGTAGAGTGTAAAAGTTAATTTTGAACGGATTGTGAAAATGAGATGGGTGGAAACACTACATAAACAAAATAAAAGTGATGAGCTAAAACGCCACAGCAAGTCGAGTGAATCACTTTAAAAGGCACCTACATGAATGGGAATAAAGATGTATAAAAGTTAAAGTTTTTTTGCAAGAAAATTCTACGAGCCAAATATGAATTTTTCCGGTAAATAAATACAAAAGTTAAAGTTTTTTCAAAGAAAATTTTGTGACTTTAATTTTAATTTTTCGTTCAATACATTTATAGTTTTTTAACAAAGGTTTCAATATCAACGTACAAGTTTAAAAAGTATACTTTTTTAACATGGCAACCCTGTGTGTGTAAGTTTTTTTCTAAAATAAATTTTGTTCCATATTTAAATACTTGCCAACCTCTATTGGAATTGAAGCAATCAAACTTCTTTCGTTCCAATCTCACTTTCAAACATTTTTAATTTAATTATATATTTTAATATATTTTTTATTGACAACCCTATTCATAAAAATAATGTTTTGTATCTGCATTTTATATTTTAAATAATTTAAATTTTTTGATAGTTGGCAATCCTTTTGAAAAATGTGTGCCGATCAAAATTTTCAAAATGTTCTTCCCGTTTAGAACTCACTACCAAATATTTTTCATCAAAACATTTATTTAACGTTGTTTTTTTTTAAGTTAAATTCATATAATGCCTGAGGCCTATCTTTCCATTTTATGGAGCTTAAATTTGTTATCAAAATTTTAAAAATTTGCCAAGTATCTTTAAAATCTTTTTTCTTATGAAAAATCCTAAAGCTTCAAGATTGCCTAAAGCAGAGAGAGATTCTACTCTACGGGCGCCTGAATAAAATCAAAATAAAACTCTAAAAAGCTTCTCTTATTTCATTGATGCTCAAAACAGCGCCCGCGGTCTGAGCTTTTTTTAGGCTTTCCCTAAATTTTGTTGTTGTTGATGTGAGCATGGTAAAAGCTCTCTCCTCATTTCTTCTACAGAAAAATTTAATGGACATTACTATTCTTAAATATTTCTTCTTTTGCCCACATATTTTACCAATTGCAACCTTTTAACTATCTCTCTCTCTTTTTTTCTCTCTCCCACAGAATGCTTACCAAATGAGTACAGATGTCGTGCCGGCAACTGCATTGACAATGCGCGTCGCTGTGATCACGTGCGTGACTGTCCCGATGGCGATGATGAAGACGCTAGCTGCCGTAAGTACACTGAGAAAAAATACCTACATAATTACAAATCTACTCTTAGTCAATTTAGTACGTGTGCCTTTAGGAAGTACAAACAACAAGAAAGCTCTGTAGATATTTGAGCTTTCGAAAAAAAAAGTTTTGCAGCCTTTGTGCTTACCACAATTAGCTCTTAGAAAAAAGTACGCTAGATTTTTTAAGTAAATTTTGTCACTCACAAATGAGTAACTACCCCAAAACAACAACAAGCAGTAAATATGGTTAAACTTAACAAAGCTTTGTGCTGCTTTTTTACCAAACAGTTTCATATAGAACAATATTGTAGTAATGCCCGCTTGCCTTAGTTGCTAAGAATTTTTTTTTTATAAAAAAGTAGACAGCATTAGTTTAACAAAAAAAAAAAACTAACACTAACCACTTAACCATTTTTTCTTCTATTTTACTTGAATTTATCCTAAATGCCTGTAAATTTGCTACAACAATAACAACAACTAACTGCGTGATATTTAAACCGGAACAAAAAACAAACAAAAAATAAAAAAAATAACAACAATTTGGCTACTAACTACGCTCATTTTGCACGCTGTAAATATGTAATTTGTGATAACGGCATTATCTAACTCTGCATTGAACAAAAAATCAAAAAAAAAACTAAAAATTGCTCGCATGAATTATAAAATAAATTTACGCGCGCTATGCATCCAGTTATCGGTTGTCGCGACGACGAGTATCTCTGCAAGAATTCTGAACAGTGCATCAGCAGCACGAAGGTGTGCGATCGTATCACCGATTGTGTAGGCGGCGACGATGAGGATCAGTGTGAAGGCAGTAAGTAAAAGAGCGCGTGGGGAGGCATGGTGTTTGACGTTCGTGAGCGATCTTTACGCTGCGATCACTCGCCAAACACGCTCAGCCTCAGCGCGAGTTCATTTCGCTCATTTTTCATTACGTTAACACACGAAAAGTATTCATACGAAATATTCATGAAAACGTATAACTTTTGCTCTTTTTATCTTTTCTCTCCCAAACACTTTATTCTGCTCTCTTCTTACTCGGTATTTGTTTTGTTTTCGGCTCTTGTTTATTTGTTTTTTTTTTTATGGATTTATTACCAAAAACTAATGCTACCTTTGGATTTATGCTTGCGCTCAGTTGTACCGCAGCTGCGCTACTTTTGCCCAAAAGGCAAATTCACCTGCCACGATCTTTCCTGCATATCAATCGTGCATCGCTGTGATGGAACAACAGACTGCCCAAACGATCGCGCCGATGAGGAAGGCTGTCGTAGGTTGCCAATGCATTGCTTTGGGTTCCAATGTTTCAGTTTCACTTAATTTTTGAGTTCGGAGTTTTGGAAAATCAGTTGCTCCCTCTTCCTCTCGCTTGTATTAATGTTGTCTAATTTCTGCATGTTTATCAAATTTTTTGCTGATTTTTGTATTGGAATTGTTGCCCAGCTTGCCTCTACGACCGTTGGATGTGCGACGATGGCACTTGCCTGCCCAAAGATCTGCGCTGCAATGGCAACATTGATTGCCCCAACGATGTTTCGGACGAGCGAAATTGCAATGGTGAGCAAAATTCATTACTATTGAAAGCATTTTGGATTTTACAGAATGTTTTGAGGTGGCTTTAGGAATTTTAAGCTCTGCGCGATTTTCGAGAACTATTTTTTTGGGTACTTACCATTTTTTTAAATTTAAGGTATACAAGAATTTAAAGTTACACAATTTATGAAAGGTAAAAGTAGGCCTTACCAGAGTTGCAAATGAATTTAATTGTAGAACTTGTGCAACCCAAAACTTCCCGCCCAATCCTTTGCCCCTTTCGCCTACACGCAACACGGCATCGTGGCAACTTGCTTTTGTTCTCTCTTGCTCGTCGGTTGATGGCTCGCCATTTTTCTCGTCATTGTCATTGCTGGCAATTTGACTGTCAGCTTGCGGCGGCGCGCGGCAAAAGATTTTTTGTTTATTTTTTTCTTTGCTCAGTCGCTTTAAAAAATGCGCGCCGCCGGCCAACACATGCTCAGTTCACTTACACTAGCTTAGATAGATATACACAAACTAGCGCATATGTATGTACAGTTGTCCACAAAATAATAGTAGTGCGTTGTTTTGACCAGTTTTAGCAATTTTTCTTTTGTTTATTATTTTTTATAAAAGTCCAGCTGGTTATACAACAAACACCTTATAAATTCAAATTTTAAACTTTGTACAAGAATTTGAAAAAATTCTCAAAATTTCAAACTTTTTAAACCGAATATTTATGCAGTTGGAATGCAGTTTTGTAGCCCATAAAATTGTAGTAGTGTGAAGTGCAGCTTTCAAGCTGATTAAAAATTAAAAATTTTCAAAAATCAACCAGGTTTTTACCTACTTGAAACCTGCACTTTACCATCACTGAAATTTGATGAGCCATAAAACTGCATACCAATTTTTGCTGAAAATTTTGCAATTTTTTATGATTTTTGTACATAGTTTGAAATGTGGATTTATATGGTGTTTGTTGTATAAGCTGCTAGGCTTTTATAAAAAAATAATAAACATCAAATAAACAAAAGAAAAATTACCAAAACTGGTCAAAACATAGCACTCCTATTATTTCGTGGACAACTGTACATTTATGTAAGAGTGAATGAGTTGGAATTCGCGACCAGCAGCAACAGTTGTTGCATGCGTTTGTGACATTTTCATTGCTGCTTGTGGCGTTGATTTGAAAATTAACATTGCAAAACTCAGTTAGCAAACATACACATACAACACATATGAACATGCAAAAATGAAGACCGCGATTTTTATGCTGCTCTTGAAAATGCATATTTTAGCATAGTACATACTCGGTTTTTTTTCGAGCCCTTTGCTGTTCTACTTGGCGCCAGCCTTCTTAATATCTGTGCCTCCTCTTTATCTCCATTCATACATTCATGAGTTTTTATTCTCTTCGTTTGTCTACCTATTTGAATGACATTTTAATTTTTTTCGCCCGTCCCTCTCACCTACTGCCTACTGTCCCTACTTTGGTTCGCGCGCTTCATGTTTCACTTGCAGAACTTTCATTTTGCTGAGATTTGCATTTTTCCCCCTGCTTTGCAAAATATGTATGTAAGTATGTACTTGCAGTTATGCAATCAGCTTTGCTATCGTCTTCTATGTATGTTAATTAATCAGCTGTCCAACAACAAATTTTGCTCTATATTTTATTTCATTTGGATTTTATGTATCTGCTTAAAAAAAAAAAAATATTCCACTCGCGTGCAGTCGCCCAACTGACAGCTGAGACGCGCCTTTGACGTTTTTGTGTCACTTAAAACATTTCCAGGAATTTTGCGCGCGCTTTCGTATGCCTGACAAGTCGCGCCTGTTTCCGTTTCGCCCATTTGGTTTATAAATAAAATAATAAATACAGAATTAGACACCTGTTTACTTGCTATTTAAATAAATGCTGCCAAAAGATCAGACGCGATTGAGTGAAATATAATGATTTCAGGGCAGAAAATGTCAAGAATATTTAATTAAAATCTCAGCTCAAGTTTTTTCTTAAACACGTAATCCGAGATATGTATACATAATCTCAAACCTAAGCACTACTCGTCGCGATTCACAAAGCCCAGCCAGGCTTGGTTTGGGCCAACAACCCAAAGATGTTTTTTTCGGTCGCAATCGACGGAGATCGAAGTAAGAAAAGAATTCGACTCAGAGAGCTAGAAATTTCAGACAATGCTGTGGCCAGTGGAGTGGCGGTCATACTTGAAGTACTAGATGCAATTTAACAAAATGTAGCTATTTGTAAGGGACTGTGCGGCTCACAAACGAGCTTTTCGTGGGGCCCATCGCTTTCGGCCAATTTTGATGTTTGGGCTTTCGAATTTTTCTCCCTTTTCATAAACATTTTCCGCTGAAATGTCTGCTGACTCCTCTCACAATTTTATTTCTGTGAACCCGCTCATTTCCTAGTCGTCTTTCTCGGCCATTGAAGTCTGTTGCTCCTCACATTTTACGCAGTGTCGTTGATTACTTCCTTTACCTTTCACTTCTCTCGTCCATCATCATCACTCCTTCATCATCTTCGTTTTCGTGCATTTTCATTTTTTTCTTTTACTAATTATCCCTTTCAATTATTTTTCCTACCAATCCATCCATCAACCATTTGCCAATAAACTACGTCCAATTGTTATCAATGTAAACCCGAAATACAATCCTGCGCTTATACTTCGCAAACTTCTGCTGGGCTCGCATTTCGCCATAAGGTGGTGAGTCTGGCTGCAGTTACAATGAATTCCAATGCGACAATGGTCAGTGCATACCGATGCGTGAGTTATGCGATAATATCTATGATTGTGTTGATTATTCAGATGAAAAGGACTGTGGTAAGTGCTATTTTTGCCAGTTTGTTTCCACAAGAATTTGGGAAGCTTGGTGATGGTATTTTTATTTTATTTATTTTATTCAAATTTTTTGGTGATGGCCGAAAGTGTAAAATAAAGATATTTTATTTTGTCTAATTTTTTTTCAAATGAAAAAGTGCTTCTTACTAATGCTATATCTATCTATGTATGTATACGCTTATTTATTCTTGGTTGAATGTTCTAAAATAAATGGGCTTTTGTCTATCGAAGTAGTTAGCTTATATTCTAAAATCCCATCTCTAAGGTCAAAATCGATACTATGCAACAAGACGAATATAGCCTCCGCCAGAGGCATCTTTTCGACCCTAAGACGTACCGACGATGGATGAACAGCGTTGATAGAGAGTCGGTCACCACCTCCCACCAATTTCGACCAATGACACTGAGCTTTGACTACGACAAGAGACCCGCGCTACTCTGCCCAATTTTGGTCAGGTTATTGGAGCCGTCTCAACAACTACTTATCCAGATTCGACCCCAATATCCCCAATGACTGTTCGGCATGTCAAGACTCCCCCGCGACATCAACCACCTCTTCACATCTCAGCTCAATCCGACTCAGCTAACTCCCCTCTAACTTTGGTCCGACCCTGTCGGAAAAGCTCGTTTGCTCGTCCCAAAAAGAGCCCAGCGAATTTAATTTCTCTTCAGAGCTCGTCAAATAACCGCTCAGCTGTCGGAGCATCTCTCTTCTGCTTTTATACTTAATTGTCTATCTACCTTTTGAGTTCGGGGGCATTCCGATTTATCGGCATGTCCTAAGGCGTCTTAGGTTTTTTTGACTACCTGCCTCTGACTTTGAAACGAAAAGATCTTATACTAGGCGACCAATAAAAGCTGATATCAAGGACACTCTTTAGTCCGTTTTTATAAGTTTCGAAAGTAGGAAGATGATGGATTGAGCGACTTTTCTTGTGCTAGGCTTGTTAATACTTTTCCTCGCACGTTTCTCCATGACAGTTCGGCTATATAGTTTTGAATTTCAGTTGATTAGAAGTAGGGACCTTGGACACGAAAAAGGTAAAACCCTAAGCCGAGACCTAGATCAAGTATTTTTTTTGCATACTGTTTTTACCCAAAACATTGTATCTAAAAGGTGTTGGTAACTTCTACTAAATATAATATAAGTACTATTTTCGGTATCTGCAATGTAGAAAAAAAATTAAAAGCAAATATTAGAATAAGTGTCGCTTTGGTAAGCCGCTGCTGCTGCTCGCTTTGGAAATGTATTGTTGTGCAATTAAAAGTACCTTTGTCAAAGAACCTATACCAGTACCGTAGTCGTCACTGTCGCTGTCCGCAAAGTAGTAAACATTTAGTATTTTTTTGTTGAAAAAGCAATTTGAATCTAATTTTTTTATGATTTTTCTTTTTCTTTGGTTACAAACAAAATCAAAATTTTTGCGGTTACGGTGCAAAAAAAAACACAAAATATAAACCCAATTCTACTACTACTAACTGCTACCAAAATTGCAACACTGGCAAACTCTTCACTTCAAAATTGGTAAAAACTGAATTTATTCGGCACACTTTCGGTTGTGGATTTACAATGCTCCCGCATGTCAAAACAAAAACTACTCGTTACACCTACTTTGAAACCCGCTTTACCTTTGTATGCCCTTTTCGGGGTTGCATGCGATTGTGACGCGTAGAGGTAGAGGACATTGAACGCAACATATTCGATGAGGATGAAATAATACGCGAATACGCGCCACACGAACGAAAGCCACCGACCACAGAGGGTCCCACGCTGGAGGGACTGGACGCGCAGGAGTACTACCTCTTCCATTCGAATATGTACCAGAAGGCGAACGCACGGAATCCCTGCAACGATCAGCAATTCAAGTGCGGCAACAACGTTTGCATACCGTTACATCTGCGCTGTGATGGCTTTTACCACTGCAACGACATGACGGACGAGTATAGCTGCGATCAGTACAATGCCAGTAAGCGGCGCACCACAGCGCCACCTTCGAACCTCGTACGCACGACGCAGGCTGCGCAGGTGTTGCCTTGGTGGCGCACCACAGCTGCCACGACAGCAGCGCCAGCGACAACGGCGAGGACGACGACAACGCGCAGCCGGTGGATCGCAACGCCGACGCACGTTGTTAGCACTGTAGCGCCCAGTAGGTTTTTTGTGCTATTTTATGGGTGGCGGAAATTTGGTGAAGAGAACTCTATTTTAAAATTCCACAGAAGCTTGCAGTGCACAAAATTGCGTAAAATAGCGATTTTTTTGTAGAAAATGTGCATTTTACTAAATTTTGCATGCATTTTTTTGAGTGTACGCCTGTAGGAGTTGCGCGAGCGCGCGGTAGCACTCTCAAACATGAAGCGATCGCTTTAGCAAATCTGTTTTAGGCTGCTCCGCTTGTCGCGTCAATGTGGCACTCAAAACGCACGCGCTCTACGCAATAATACGCGCACACACACGCAACACAGCAATTACACTACCACATGCAAACATACTCACTACACTTACAAAATTTACTTAAAACGCAGGGATATTAAGACTTTAAAATCTTAGAGTTCATTAGTTGAAGTTAAAGCTCAGCAGCAATTCGAGCTGCTTCAGTTTTCTTTTTAACCATTTCTTTTTTTTTTATTTTCCAAAACACATCATTCAATCGTACATTTTTTCTCATTTTTACGCTCCGCACATACCGTTTCACTCATAAAATTTCTTGAAATCCACTCAACACACCATCACTACTCGCACTACTCACAGGCTACAACAACACTTGCCTCGAAAATATTGAATTTACGTGCCAAAATGGCGATTGCATACCGATCGAGAGCGTTTGCGACGGCACTGCCGATTGTACGCGCCGCGAAGACGAAGACTACAATTTGTGCACCTGCAGCAGCGACAAGGTAAGTTGAATGTGATTGGATGAGCGCGCGCTCTGCCTCATACTCTCTCTCTCTCTCTCTCTCTCTCTTGCTCGCTCCCTCATGCAGTTTAACGCATGCGTGAGTCAGTGAGATTGAGTATGAGTGAGAGCGCTAGCTCAAGCTGGCAAGAAACGCGCGCACGTGCATTGAGCAAACATTAGCGCCATTAAGTGAAAATTTAAACTTTTACAAAAATTTGGCATGCATTATTTATAATGAACTGTTATTGAATGCATGTAGTGGAAATGTTTGCGCGGCGGCGGTTGCATACCAAAAACGCAGGTCTGCGATGGCAAACGGCAGTGCAAGGATGGCAGCGATGAGAGTATTTGCCGTAAGTATTTTTAATGATATACAGAAGTAAATAACATGGCATGCGTTGCGCATGCGCACAATTTGCATTTTTGTTATTTTCTTTAGTGTACATACATATGTATGTATGTATATATGATGTATGTTTATTGAGAATTTTAAAATAATTTTTAATATTATTGTATGAAAATTTTAGTTTGCATGCGCATGAATGATTACTGTATTACTATAAACCAAAGTATTTTAGGCAGTGTACTTTGTCCCCAAACTAGAACTTAGTAGTGAATTGACCTTACATAGTCAATTAAATGTTAATTTTTTCAGTATATACTCACAAATACCTAAATTTGATTTAACAAACGAACTAATCTAGTTTATTAACACTGAAGTAAAAAATTATAACTTTATTTAACTTTTAAGCGATAATGTTAATGTGTAAAATTATCTACTGTATCCGAATATGGTGCATCACCTGTTTTGATTTTTATCCAAAAATATATTTTATATTTATCCGGATCCAGGAGATTAGTTTACATGCTAATCAAATAGAATGATATCCAAGTTTTTGATATTCTTCACTTTGTCTGATCTATATAACTGAAAAATTCTTCGTCAGTATTTTCGGCATACATATGTACATATACCTATAAGTTTAAGCCAGGGAACCGGACTTTTAAAACTTTTATAATAAAAGTCATTAAAAAATATTCCCGAACTTTTATTTTTTTAGTCCAGTAATAACAGTTAAGCTTGGCCAAATACTTTTTTAGGTCGAAACAAGAGTCGTTTCTTTATAATAAACCAACTGCTTAGCCAAATTAAACATATTTGGTATCAAATGAAAGCTTTCAAACTGAAATATCTAAACAAACATCAAACCCATTTAAAAAATATTCTAATTAAAAATGTTTTCTAATTACCATACAACAAATCTTGAGTCAGGTATATGAATTACTTTTGTATTAAATTATAAAAAATGTATATAAATAGTTGGCAACCTTTGTTTAAATTTTTCTATTTGTCTATTTCATTCCGCTTGCATTTGATACCAAATTTGTTAAATTTGGATAAGGGGTTTGTTTATAATTAGGAAGGACTTTTATTCCGGCCTTAAACAAAATTTTGCCAAGTTTAGTTGGGATCAAGTGAACATTGGTAACTTTCTTGTACGACAATATTTTGGCCCAGGCTTATATAGCATCGAAATAAAAAAAACTGTTGTTTTCGGTCCCTGGTTTATGCAAGTAAAGGCCGTTTTCTCAAGTAGCTTTTAAAATGTATCTGCCCTTAAACACAAATTTTGTTCTCAAAAAATTTATTTAAGGGGCAGTTAAATTTTAAAAGCCGCTGGCGAAAAAGCCCCTGAACCATTTTATTCGCCTTTGAATCCTGCTGGCGATTACCTTATAACCTCTCCGTACAGACACGGGATATTTTATTTTTTATCCTCTTTCCCTTTATTTAATCCTCATCAACTTCTTGCTGAATTTTAGTCTCTATTCCACGGTTGTAAAATTTTGTATGTATTGTATCACTTTGCAATAACTCAACTACACACTTTATTTGCTCACTTTCACACCACAGATATTCGTACCGCCACTAAGTTCAATCACTTGCTCGTATACTCACTAATTTATGCCCGCACTCGCTCATACACTCACTCCTCCGCTGCTTGACTCGCTCACTCATTCACTTACTCACTCGTATGCTCACTGGCTCGCTCTTTATTGTTTCACTTTCATATGTGTGGTTGTTATCCTTCATGTCACCATAACTCATTAACATCTTTTCACTCTTTTTCCATTTCACTACTCATTTTGTTTTACTCATTCATTTATTATAGATTTTCATGCTAAGTATAATAAGACGCGCATTGCCAATGAATGCCTAAGCTTTCAATATCAATGCGCCGATGATATCTGCATTTCGGGCTACAAGCGTTGTAACGGCATTACCGATTGCGTTGATGGTTCCGATGAAATAAATTGCCCGTTGAATTACGATGATGCAAATTACGGTATAATCTGACTTTTCCAAATTTTCTAACTACAAAATTGAACCCTAACCGAAAAAAAATGTATACCAATTTTTGTAAAAAGAAAAATTAACGCTTAACCCAGCATTTTATGCAAAAATCAGGCATTAGACCCAACAGCACAAATGATTGGTTCTTTTCTGAAAGTGGTTTAAGGCCACAATGCACCAAAGCCCCGAGCCCAACGCTAAACTGATCGGAAGTGTTTTCGCTTCCTTTCTCTCTTAAACAAAAAAAAAAAAACTAAGAAAAGCATGTTTTCAGTAATTTTTTTATCTCTTCGCATACATATCTTTTTTCATATCAATTATCACACTCGCACACCGTCACACATGAAACACACCACAACATTATTCTGCGACTCGCTCTCGGTTTTGTTTTGCCGCGCGTCAGATTTCGAACCGGATCCAGCGCTCAGCGAATGCGATATTTATGAATTCGAATGCGACTACTCGCAGTGCATACCGATCGATAAGCGCTGCGACGGTTATCCGGATTGCAATGATGAGACTGATGAATACGATTGCCCGCCGTTTACAGGTAAAGCTCCATAGGTCTACACAAGCTGGAGAATTTCGACTACCATGCACTGTGAAAACAATGAGCACATTTAACTACTCACCAAAAAGAGAAGGAAAAAATATTAAAAAATTTCAATGTCTAGTGTTTGACTCTAATTAGTTTGAATTCAAAATAACAACAACTTTTACCCGACTCGAGTGACAATCATTGGCTTTAGTGGGTATTATTTACGCCACTCAAAATAATCGTTGCAAAAAAGTACATAATTTAATCCACTAAAACTCAAATTTCGAATTCAACTTCAACTTTAAACTCATAAAATTCGTACTATTTTTTTCTTTTTTGATCAAGTTAAGTTTTTTTGTAAATATTCACATAAAGCTTATACAAAATGATGGCCTTATACATAAAAAGTTAAGTAGATTTTAAAAACTTTATCAAGTGACATTTTCATAAAAGTTGTCAATTTATAACGCATTTTAAGTCTTCTTAATTTTTTATGAATTTGAGTGCAAACATTTTTAAAGTTCCCATCCTCCCAAAAAGCATGCATTTTTTTATTAACAGACCCATAGTAATAATTTTTATTTTAGTTTTATTATTTTCTTCATTTTCATTCTTAACAAAATTGCATTCATTCATACCTTCACAGAGCATTGCCATGACAACGAATTCGAATGCGATCAGAATTATTGCATACTCCGCGATCAACAATGTAACGGTGTTGCCAATTGCAATGATGGAACCGACGAGCAAAATTGCACTCACTGCCGCGATAATGCTTTTCTGTAAGCGTTTGATTTTAATTAATGCGCTGCAATATTTCATGGATTTCGCTGAAAAATACATAGGGAGCTTTCGCATAATGACCGTCTTCTACTTAAAAGCACTTAAATCTTTCAAGAGCTTGAAAATCGTTAACCTCTATATTTATCAGAGCTTTCACCAAAATATTCATTCATTCATTTCATAAAATATGCAGTCCAGTCTCTAGTCACACTTTATAACCATAAAAATTAAAGCATCCGAGAATGTTTTTTTTACATATATTTTAAGCTTCCACAAAATCAAAAAAATGTAATAAATAGTAGAAGAAAGTTGTGAAAAATTTCGGTTTTGAAAAAGTTCCAATTGAAATAGGAAACCTCATAGCTACCTTTATAGATTTCGTAAATTGAGGTTGTATAAGCTTTACCGATTCCCTTTAAAAGCTAATTTACATTTATTTACTTGTGTACTTTCACACACTGTACAATGAACGGCATGTAGTCTGATTCAGACAAAAAAGAAAAACTTTCGCACTTAAGATGAGCTTTCGCAAGTGTCTTCACCCAAAATCTCACACAAAGTTCCCATATAACCTTTTAAGTTGACTTAATCGCGAGCTTTCACCATTACGACAAGCTTTCACATAAGCTTTCACCAAAATTCGTTGAAGAGATCTTACCTAACTCAGTAAATCCATGAAATATTGCATGCCAGCGCCTGAAAATAAAAATAAGTTTCGTAAACAATTTTAAATTTTTCAACATCTCAACGTCTTTTAAACGCGCCACATCACCGTCACAACACCACATACCATAACTCTTACGAAAAAATACATCACATCACATCAACACATTCACCACACAACTTGAAAACCATCTCATCAACACAATTACATACACGGCTACATGCCAATTGTGACAACAAAAAATGTTACTTTTGTAACTGTCGTGCAGCTGCAACACTGGCGAATGCATTTTGCCTAAACTGCGATGCAACGGCCAGGCCGATTGCGTCGATGCCAGCGATGAGCTAAACTGCGGTAAGTGTTCAGCGTGAGTGACTCCTCGCCACCTGGGTCAGAAAACCCCACTCGGTATTTTGGTACAGCGAAAAGAAACAAGCTTTTTAAGTTTAGTTTTTGTAAAAGCTATTTCCGGCGTTTCTTCTTGGCAATAGTATAGTTTGAATTTCTTACAAAAGAATGTATACAAATTCTATAAGCTAATGACTCCCCGCCTCTTCTTTCCGCTTGCTTGTCCAAACAAGTTTTTGCTTTGCATGCGATTCCTGCAATTTTAATGGGCATCCATTTCGCTATATCCATTAGCTTGTCAATTAATTTAGTTACACGTACGTAGTAGGTTTTAGTCTCAATATTTTCCTCTCCGTTTCTTATTTTACAAATCAATTATTGCACAACAATTTTTCTTGTACTCGTAAAACAATTTCATTCGATTTATGCAAACGCAACGCACACACATCGAATAACAACCACCACTACCAATTCATCTGTAAAATTGTTGAAATATTTGTTGATAATACCGCCATGGAACAGCACGACCGGGCAATGCGCGACCACCACCACGACCGCCAGCGCCGGCGCCAACAAAACCAACGAGGATCGACTGCCCGCCACTGCAATTCCGCTGCAACGGCACCTGCGTCGACTGGAGTCTGCAATGTGACGGCAAAGTCGACTGCGACGACGAGTTCGACGAACGCGATTGCGATGGTAAAGAAGTGGCTTTAAAAGTGACTATCTCGAAAAAATTTAATAGTCAAAATTGCTATGCACCTAAGCTTCCAAAGCTCTACTAATTCTTTAGAACTTTTGCGAAATTACCTAATTAATTGTCTTTTTTTTTGGATACGGCTATTATATTTGCCCCCAATTTCGCCACCCCCTCCCCCCTAACCGAAGTGGAACCTAATTCCCGTATTCTTCCAAATAAATTTGAAATTTTTCATTTTGCCCACTACATTGATTGTCTCTCGTGAGCTTTTAAAATCTCCTAAAAACACTTGCCACCCAAAGGGCTTCCAAATTTCTTCAGAACAAAAAAACTATGTTTTGACTTTCAGCTAAAAATCTATTTAAAACCTTGGCTTTCACGGGTATTCTTAAATAAATATTGTACAGTTTTAAAAATCTCATAATCATTATTTCTCGATCAACCAAAATTTTCTTTTTCAAAAATGGTGGCGGCTAGCTAGAGGATCCATAGATCCATATAAGATCTTTGGAAAGCTTATAAAAGCTTTGCCTTCCGGCAAAGTTTCGAACATAACTTATCTGAAGCTACTTGAGGCTTTAAATTCTCCAGCGATAAGTTAAAGGGCAAATGTTAGACATTTATTAAAACTTTTTTTTTAAATAAAAATTTAATTTGCAATGAAATTATACCTAAGTCTACCTGAGTTATTTACAAGAGATTTGATTAAATTTCGGATAAGCTTGTGTTTCGAGCTTTCAGATAGAGTTTCCAAATAGAATTCGCTGTCAACGCAGCTTTAATAATAAAAAGTCAAGCATTTGCAAAAACAAAACAGAACAAAAGTTCGAATATTTTAAAAAGCTTTTCAGGGCTTTAGGAACTCATATCCTAAAGAGCTTTCGTAAATGAGAGCTGGCCACTTTATAGTCACGAAGTTTTTTTGAGCTGCATAAATAAATGTACATCAATGACGACAGGACGGAGCTTTTATACCGCATTTAAATTCTAAAGCAAGCTTGAAAAAGCTTTAGTTGCTAACTAACTTGCTCTCTCCAAGAAGAAAGCTTCTTCTCGCGAACTTGGCAGTAAATTCAATAACTAAAATCTTCCTTGTTATCTGAAGATTTTCATTGCAATTTTATAACTCTCCCCAGCCACTACATTTGCATTAATTACGCTTTTCTATGGTCAGTTTGTAAAAAAAGCGTAAAAGCCCACGAAGGATAATAGAAGTTGTGAAAAAGCTTCCGCAAACCAACTTCAGAGCTTCCGAAAAAAGTGCCCTGAGTTATGCCTACCACGTGGATCCTTCCTCTCTCTCTCTCTCCTCCATTTCTTCCATTAACATGCCATTTTCTGCCGTTCATTTAAACTTTTTCATTTCATTTATGTTTAGTATTTATGTGCATACATGTTTTTTAAATACTTTGTTTATTTGTTCTTTTGTTTGTTCAATTTCATATAAACCAACGCACATCACGTAATCACCTGTGGCCATTTTAAAAATTTATTTGTTTTGTTTCGCATTTATCTCTATGTTATCTGTGTTTCTGTGTGGAAATATGGTCTTTGTACAAAAAAAAAAAAACTGCTAACAAAACTCATCAAACGCAATCACCAACAACATTCAATATAACAACACAACAACAAACATATGCACAATGTACAGTACATGAGAACGAAATAACATTGCCCATATCGAATAGGACTTGCCTCTCCTACCAGTGGCAATGCGACAACGCTCAGTGCATTAACAAAGATTATCTCTGCGACGGGCACGACGATTGCACCGACGGATCAGATGAGACGCGCAGACAATGCCGAAAAGAGGGTAACAAAAAGTAGATAAATAAATATAACTTTTTTATTGAGGAAATTGCTCGAGGAAAATTTTGGCCGATAAAATACTTTGGAAAAAACTTCCTTACTTAAATTAGTCGCTCTCCATGTCAGCTGTCCGCAAAAACTATTACGTTTTTCTACTAAAATTAATTATTTTTGTAACTTTGAAGCCCATCTAATATAAAGTATATTTTGTATATGTTTATGTAGATATCTATGTATATTATGTTACCAGTGTTGCCACCTGCAATCATTAATCAAAACTGTTTCACTTGCAGCTCATTTCATTCAGCCGATATTAACTACTAATCCAAGACATTTTGCATTTATTTCTTTCCGATTCTCTTGCGATCGCTCGCTCTCTCTCCTCTCCTCCTTCTGCTTGCTTGCATCGCTTCATCATGTTCTCAATCGTGTTTTGCCATAATTTCCACCACTGGCTGCGCTTTTGATCATCACTTCATACCGGTAGAAGCCATTCGTCACTCACCCGAAGACTGTTCGTCGGATCAATTCTTCTGCGACGATGAGTGTCGGCACGGATCGATACGTTGTAACGGTTATAGCGATTGTACCGACGGCAGCGATGAGATAAACTGTTTGTCCTATCCGCCAACACGACGACCGGTGCCCATCTACCCATGCCCCATACATACCTGCCCGAATGGCAAATGCTACTCGGAGAGCGAACGTTGCGATGGTTCGCGCGACTGCGACGATGGCGCTGATGAGGCAAATTGTAAGTGGACGCTGTTACCGAGCGCGAGTGTGTTTTTAAGGGGACCTGAGTCCGTGAGGAAATTCTTAAGCTACGTTTAGAGCTATCGTATGCACCAAATTTAAAATAGTTTTTCTTTGCTATTTACGAGATGAAGAAAGCACTTAAATTGGCATCGTATTACTTATATTGATTGGTTTTCAGCAAAAAACAAGTATGCAAATGAAGTCGAAAGAAAATAGCGAGGGGACTTAGGCAAGGTTCAGTGGAAAAGTGTGAAAAGGGATTTGGGATATATTCGGATATCCGAAAATTGAGAAAAGCCGAATAATTAATACCTAAAATTATTAAAACAAATTATCTGAAGATAGACTATTTCATTGGGTTCACAAACAATATTTTAACGATTAACTAGCCATAGACTTAGTTTGAGATGTTAGTTTTCAAGGCAAACTACTTATTTTTCAATTCAAAGTCAAGCCGTTTAACGTCACTTAAGTTTTTTAATAAAATTCCACAGATAAATACCATCAAGAGTACAAATCCGGATGCGAATATTTACTATATATGCGATAAATTTAACCATTATTTGTATCGGTAAATTTGTTAGCAAAAATCGATAATTATGTTTATCGACAAGAATTTAAAAAATAATGCAGCTGAATTATACTTTAGGAATGACTATTTAGATAACATTAGAGGCTTGTAGCAAATAAGGCTTTGAAGTGAATTTTGAAATACTTAACCTCGAAGATAAATATTTGATTTGGAAAAAATTTCGAATTAGTACAGAATTCGCAGGAGTTCCGATACGATTTACTAAAAACAGCTTTAGAACATTTTTTATTACGTCAATCAACTTCAGATACTAAACGGTTTGAATTATTTTTAGGTTAAGTTAGATAAAATTAGGAGGTTTTCAGGTTAGGTTATTTTGAATCAGGTCAAAACAAGTTGAGTTAAGCTCGACTAGGTCAACATCAGTAGTTCTAAACAATAGTCTCAACTTGATCAGAAATAGGGTCGATACGAGTAGTCTCGAACGAAGAAATAATCACAGAGCCACAACAGACAATCATTTTTCTGCAGTGTACAAATGTGTTTAACCGACTTCATTTGCATTACCAAATTCCAAATTTCACCTCGCAGCACTTAAATTATATGCATTTATGTATTTATAAGCACATCATTTTATTTCATTTCTACATTTTTATGTATGTATTTTATATAAGAAGGCTTTTTCATTATTTTACAAGCACATTGTGATAAGCTCTATCACCTACATATTGTTAAAAAAAAAATTGTTATGTCTATTGAATCTAGCTGCCTAATCGTCTCAAAATTAAGAAAGATTTAAGAGTGAAAATTAAAAAATTAGTTAATAGCAATTTTGTAATGGAAAAACCCGTAATAAAAAAATATTTAACCAGGAGGAGCACAAGTATTTAATAAGAAAATGTTTAATTAAAATTCAAGATATGAAAAATATATTTAATACAAACTCAATTAAAAAAAAAATCGAATTTCAACTCATAAACCTTTCTAAATTTTTTGCTGCTCACTCACGTTCGTTTACACTTTTCATAGCGCATTTCATTAATTTATGCTTCTTTCTGCAACATTAGAAATTTTTTTGCAACTTTTCTTATGCAATTCAAAAATTACTTTAATCCTCTGTAAGGCACCACCTGCAAGGAAAATGAGTTTCTCTGCTTTGATCGTCAGTACTGCATTAATGAGACGCAACATTGCGATGGATACTACGATTGCAAAGATTTCTCAGATGAGCAAAATTGCATTGGTTAATACAAAGCATTACTTTTGACTATAATTTTGTTGAAATTTTCATAGCTAGTATTTTTGATATTCTCGTCGTTGATGATTGATTTTGTTACATTCTTAGTCTATATGATTTAAGAAATATTTTTTAAGGTTATTTTTAATTTTATAAGATTCTACCTTACCTTTAAGCTATGTAGTTTTTAATTTAAACACTGTTAAGTTTAGAAAAAAAAACCTATTTTTAGGCGCATGCAAACTCCAATTTTTGTTTCAACCCAACAAAAAACCGTATTACTTTACCTCCTCTCAGCACCTTACCCCAGCGCACGCTTTTTTATTTTCCCCCTTTGCCTATATGTATGTGCATATGTATTTAGCAATTTGTTTTTTAAGTCTACTCTTACCAACGTGTTATCCCTACCCATCCAGCAATTGTGCTTCCCACCATCATTTAAACTCAAAATAATTTCTTTCTCACTTTTTTCCATTCACTTTGCATCCGAAAAGGCTGTGCTGCCAATCAGTTCCGCTGCCGCAATGGCGATTGTGTCTCTGGCAGCGCTCATTGCAATGGTTACCGTGACTGTCGTGACGGCTCGGACGAAGAAGACTGCTCGGAACCCAACTACGACGTGGGACGCACTTGCTCGGTTTCGCAGTTCCGTTGCAACAACGGACAGTGTATCAATGCGGCGGCGCGTTGTGATGGCTATACCGATTGTGCAGACAGCTCAGATGAACTTTCGTGCAGTGAGTATAAAAATCCATAATCAAAGCTTTTTACACTACATTTTCATCTCAACTTGCTCATGCCTTCATACACATACACTCACTCATACACTTTCGAAAATCGCATATTCGACTCTTAGAATATCTGCGCGAACCTCAACTCGAATTTGAAGGAATCAGTAAAGCTTGCGGCCCGCTAATGTTCCGTTGTGAGAACGGTCCCTGCATACGCAATGCCTTGCGTTGTAACGGTGTTGTCGATTGTCCGCTCGATATTAGCGATGAGTTGGACTGCAGTCCGACCTCCAATGAGATTGAGCGTAAGTTTCGTTTGAGTAAGTTTAGTAGAAAAAGACTAACAAACGCACGAGAAGCAGGTGGCAGTAGAAAAATGTATTACAAAGAAAAGATTTGAATTGGAATGGTTGGGATTGACTTTTCAACTCTAAGACTAATAGCCAATAGGCCGCGCTCTGCTGTGGTGACCGCCAGCACTGGAAATAAACCCACTCCGAAAACCAGATTAAGAAAAAAATTAAAAAGAACTCTGCAATATCACTCGAATCACTCGCACACTCACTCTACTACTCAATCAAGATCTAGTTAAATGCTCACACAACTTACTCACTCATTAGGCCTCACGTATATAAAGTGAGCTTAAGCTCTGACTCGATTTTCAGTACAAATGCTTGTGCCAGTGCGAAAATTAGGTCTGAGGTTAAGCTCATTTTTTATGCACGAGACCCATTGCCCTACTCTAAGACTCAATTTTAGCCACTCACCTCCTCTTGTACTTACTATCAAGCTTCCCCAATCCTTCCTTACTCACACTACCACTCAGTTTTGTACTCATTCAAACCTTCATCCCTACACCCTCACCTACTTACTCGCTCATTTCTTTACTATATCACTCAATTTTAGTCACTCACTTCCCCTTCTACTCACTCACACGCTCATTATCTTACTCCTCAATCATTCACCTCTCTTATTCACCTACTCACTCGTTATTTAACCGTCCTATTGCCTCACTCCTCCGTCACTCACTCCCTCTCTAACTCTCTCACGCATTTGAGAAACATACTTTCCCTAAAAAATTTTCGAAATGCTTAAACATCTTTTATAATTAATTTTAACTAATTTCTCACAGGAGTTCCTGACACATCATCAAACCCACAACTGAACCTGAAGACCTACCCTGACAGCCAAATCATCAAAGAAAGTAAGTACCCTAACTGCCGTTTGTGCAAAATGACTACTTTTTCAACATTTACTGCTCATAAGAAATTTCTTCAAAAATCGAAGTGTCGCTGGCGGGAAGGTTCCCCAACTACAGGCGAAAGTTCGTTGCTGGAAACCTTCCCGGTAACGACACCTTCCACTTTACTGTATACTGCGTTCATTCAGCTTTGAAATAACTTTGATTTTTTTATGCTATATTCCGCTTCTATTCCCCTAATTCGTACTTAATTAAAAAAAATATGTAAAAACAAATCTACACAGGATATATTAAGGAGGGTAAGTCGGTTATTTATTTCTTTCAAATACTCATTTTGTATGAGTTCCTCTCTCCGAGTGCCCATCGCACGAAAAAGCAACCGCAATGGAATGCAAATGCACTCTTTTATTCGATTTGTAAATACAATTTTATACACCCATATACTTCATATATGTACATATATGAGATATCTTTAATCGCCTACCCCAAAAATGCAACGCTATTCCCGAACTTAATAATCGTTACACCCAAAAAATATACTCCCACTTTGTATGATATCAAAAATATATGAAATCAACACAATCGCACCGAATGCCAAACACCTTCTCGCCTTCGCGTAGCAAATCTAGGTTTCTAATATCTCTCTCATTTACGCGCTTCGTTTAGGTCGTGAAGTCATCTTCCGTTGTCGTGACGAAGGTCCAGTGCGCGCTCGTGTCAAGTGGACCCGCCCTGGTGGTCGGCCGCTTCCAATCGGCTCGCGTGATAACGGGGACGGCCGTCTAGAGATTCCGAACATTCGCGTAAGTACCGAAATATTTATAACTTCTACTTTTATTAGAGCTTTTTGATTTTATTTTCTCTAAAGGTTGAGGACTCTGGTCAGTACATCTGTGAAGCTGCTGGCTATCCGCGCCATGTGTCTGGACAGCAAGTCACCGTACATCTGACCGTCGAGAAATGTAAGTAACTTTTGCTCGTAGTGTTTTATCTGGTATCGCAATGAAAAGTAATTTGAAATCCCCTACTAACAAACGGACGCAGCGTGGAATGATAACAAATACCACAGCTCCTCCCACAAAATCAAATACGGCACTGTGCCACACATTGGTCCAGAATTTTTCGGACTAGGTATACTCAAGTCTTTACTGAATATTTTCAATAGCAAGCCATTCTCAATTTTATCAATGTTTTTTCGCACTAACCCTTATATTTCTTAAAATGGACTAAACGTTCTAAAATATTGCGCCCGGTAAAAATAAATCCCACATTATTTACTTGTCGAGCGAACTCATAAAACTAACTATCTCTCTCACACCATCCTCACAGCCAACCCTATCAACGATCGCCCGCCCACAGCTTGCCGCGCCAACCAAGCTACCTGCCGCAACAACGAATGTATTGACAAGTCGCAGATCTGTGACGGCATTCCGCACTGCTCGGACGGCTCCGATGAGGAAAGCTGTAGCCACGGCCTCAAGTGCCAGCCCAATCAGTTCATGTGCCGCAACTCGCGCTGTATCGACCGCATCTGGCGTTGTGACGGGGAAGACGATTGCTTCGACAACTCCGATGAAGACAGCTGTGATCCCGAACCCAGTGGCGCGCCTTGTCGCTACGACGAGTTCCAGTGCCGCAGCGGTCATTGCATTCCAAAGAACTTCCAGTGCGACGATACGAATGATTGTATAGATGGAACCGATGAAATCGGTTGCAGTAAGTCCATGATACCTACACGATTTAATGCATTTAATAACCTTACCTTTTTTAGTGGCCCCTGCGCCAATTCGCCCACCACCGCCACATATTCGTCTGCAACAAGGCGAGCCATTGAATCTCACCTGCGTGGGCACCGGTGTGCCAGTGCCACTGATCGTCTGGCGTCTAAACTGGGGTCACGTTCCCGAGAAGTGTACTTCTAAGAGCTATGCCGGTACGGGTACGCTTTACTGCCCCAACATGGACACCCAGGATCAAGGTGCCTACTCCTGCGAAATACTCAACTCGAAGGGACGCAACTTCGTTAACCCAGATACCCAGGTGACCGTTGATGCACCATCCCGTGTGGATGTTTGCCCTGCTGGTTTCTTCAACATGCTTGCCCGCCGCCAGGATGAATGTATCAGCTGCTTCTGCTTCGGTATTTCGAAGAACTGCAAGAGCGCTAATCTCTTCAACTTTGCCATCCAACCGCCAATCACATCGCACAAAGTCAAGAACGTTGAGTTGAACCCGTACAGCGATATTATCATCAACGATGTGGCGTCGCCTAATATCCTCAGTCGCCATCACGGCGTGCAGTTCCGCGTATCCGATGTGGGCTACAACAGCCGCGAGCAGCCATACTTGGCGCTGCCAAACGACTACATGGGCAACCAACTGAAATCTTATGGCGGCTATCTGCGCTACGAGGTTAACTACATGGGCAACGGACGTGGCAACCAGGCACCGGATGTCATAATCACAGGCAACGGCTTTACGCTCACCCACCGCGCACGTAACCAACCAGAGCCGAACGTAAACAACAAGATCTCAGTGCCATTCAGCGCCGGCAACTGGTACAAGACGGACGGACGTCGTGCCACACGCGAGGAGGTCATGATGGTTTTGGCTAATGTGGACAACATACTCATCCGCTTAAGCTACATCGACGCAACGGAACGAGAGGTGGAGCTTACCAATATCGTTATGGACTCAGCAGGGCTTGAAGATCAAGGCTTGGGCTCAACGTCACTGGTGGAGAAGTGTACCTGCCCACCCGGTTATGTAGGAGACTCCTGCGAATCGTGCGCGCCTGGCTATGTGCGTGAGAAATACGGACCTTGGCTGGGTCGCTGCGTGCCTTTTGTGCCGGAACCTTGCCAGCCTGGCACCTATGGTGACCCTGCTCGTGGCATACCATGCCGTCAATGTCCATGCCCACAAACTGGTGCCAACAACTTTGCGAACGGCTGTCAACTCAGCCCTGATGGCGACGTTACATGCAACTGTTACGAGGGTTACACCGGCAGGCGTTGTGAGCTCTGCGCACCTGGCTACCAGGGCAACCCACTGATCCCGGGAGGCAGCTGCCATCGCATACCAGAGAGCACATGTAACGCCGAAGGCACTTACTATCCGCACCCGAACGGCACATGCGAGTGCAAGCCGCTTGTGGTTGGCCCCCGTTGCGACACTTGCGCACCCGAATCCTTCCACTTGAACGCCTTCACCTACACCGGCTGCATTGAGTGCTTCTGCAGTGGCCTGACAAAGCAATGTTCCAGCAGCAGCTGGTACCGCGACCAGGTCTCTTCGAACTTCGGACGCTCACGCGCACCTCACGGCTTCAACCTTATTCGCGACTATGAAACCCAACAACCTACTCAAGTCAGCTTCCAACAGGCCAACAGCGCGCTGCAATTCAGCCAACAATCAACCTCTGATCCGCTATATTGGAGCCTGCCAGCGCCATTCCTTGGCGACAAGATCACTGCCTATGGCGGCAAACTCTCCTACAATCTCAGCTACAACCCACTGCCAGGCGGGCTTATGTCCCGCAACAATGCACCCGACGTGGTTATCAAGAGTGTAAGTATTTGCTGGAGTAGTATGCTCTAGGGCTTTTTTAATACCTTTTTCACCTCTTGCAGGGTGAAGATTTGACAATCATTCACTACCGCAAAGCCGGCGTGAATCCCAACCAACCGAGCTCATACTCCGTGCCGATTATCGAAAGCGCATGGCAGCGTTCCGACGGGCAAGTAGTCAATCGCGAACACTTGTTGATGGCGCTTTCGAAGATCGATGCGATCTATATTAAGGCCACCTACACTACCAGCACAAAGGACGGTCAATTAACACATGTCTCGTTGGATATTGCCACACAGAACAACATTGGCACGCAACGCGCCTTTGAAGTGGAAGAGTGCCGCTGCCCCATTGGCTACATTGGCTTGTCCTGCGAGCGCTGTGCACCTGGCTACAAACGGGATACTGAAGCCGGACTCTATTTGGGCGTTTGCGAACCCTGCGAATGCAATGGCCATTCGAGTCAGTGTGATGCTGAAACCGGCGTCTGCTTGGTAAGTTTCTAATACCTCTTTCGAGTAGAGAAATCAGATACATATTGTACCCAAACTAATTCTTCCCTATCATAGAACTGCGCACACAACACGGCTGGTGAATTCTGCGATCGCTGCGCGCCCGGCTACGTAGGCAACGCGTCCGGTGGCACACCATACGACTGCTCGCCTGATATCGGCGAACCCAGCCCCTACCCACCACCAGCACCTGGCAATCAGACCCAGTGCAGCTACTGCAATCGCGATGGAACTGTCTCTTGTGATGGCGGCTACTGCGAATGCAAGCCCAATGTTGTGGGCCAATACTGCGAACAATGCCGACCTGGCACTTACGGTCTTTCCGAGCGCAACCCCGACGGCTGCGAGGAATGCTATTGCTCTGGCAAGAGCACACGCTGCAACTCGGCTTCGTTGTTCCGCCAACTCATTCCAGTTGACTTCATCAGCAACCAACCGCTGATCACAGACAGCGACGGCAATATTGTGGACACCGAAAACTTGAGCTTCGACTTACCCACCAACATGTACACCTACAACTTCCAATCGTACACCGAGAAGTACTGGAGCCTGCGTGGCTCTGTGCTGGGCAACCAACTGTACTCATATGGCGGACATTTGTCCTACACACTTGATGTAGACACCACCTCGTATGGCCGCTCTGAGGCCGGCAGTGATGTCATACTCATTGGTAATGGCATGAAATTGCTCTGGTCCCGGCCCGTGGAGGAGCAAGGCAGCACCGAATACCGTGTGCGCTTGCACGAAGATGAAAACTGGTTGCGCAATGAGCGCGGTCACTCAGTTCGCGCCTCGCGGCTAGACATAATGGGCGTACTGGCCAATTTGGAGCACGTACTGATACGCGGCACAACGAAAATACCCACCACACGCACTAGCATAAGGGACGTCATTCTCGAATCGGCGGTCGAGCATCGCACACCCGACGCACAACTGGCCATTGAAGTGGAGGTATGCACCTGCCCGGCCGGCTACACCGGCAACTCGTGCGAAAAGTGCGAACCTCTGCACTACAAGGACAACTATGGCAGCTGCGTGCCTTGCCCCTGCCGTGAAGACACCACCGTCGGCTGCAGTCTACTCAACAACGGCGAAGTGCTTTGCCAATGCCGACCAGGCTACGCCGGTCAACAATGCCAGATCGATGGTAAGTAGACGGGGTATGGTGGGCTGAAAGCAAACACACATATACAGACATTTAGCACGCAATATGATTGCTTGCTACATACATGCATACTTAAGTACATGAATAATCGTAACGAACGAGTCGAGTGTCGAGCGAGCTCCGCTTGCGGCATGTGATCTAACACAGGCAAATGATTAACCCATTTCCAGCTGTCTGGCTTAGTGACGAAAGTGAAGGACACATTGCGCCACAGTTACATAAACGCGCTCACACACACACACACACACACACTTAAGCACAACTGTACATGCATACATACATACTTATTATAGCTGCTTATGATGTCCTCTCTCTCTCTCTTCACTACGATTCGCGTCCATAAGTCAATGCCAATAAAAGCGAAAGCTCTGAAAAGTCAACACTCATTGTCAAACCGGATAGTTTAGTGTGCGAGCACAGCAGCTGCTGTAACGGCTTTGCCGTGGACCTCATGCCCAATGAGACCATCGCGCCCAATGAGACACTGCAGTTGTACAAAGGCAACCGAAAAGTAGGCAACATTACGAAATTGCGAGACGACTGCAATCGGCGAGGTTCGCACACTCACCTTTTTAACCGTTAAGCGTTCGCTCTCAGTAGCTCTTAACGTAGTTTCTTTGTCTATCCATTTAGTAGCGTTTCGTGTTGGATCGAAGTGATAGATTTCCCCTTAAAAAAAAAAAACACAAAGCTATGTTTCGGGTTAATTCCTACTGTTTTGAAAAATTAGAATAAAAATTTTAAATTTTCACTATTAATATTGTTAAGAATTAAAAAAAAAATTAGGCATACTCGTAATTAGTATTTTTATCTATGAATGTTTCTTCCTTTTGTTGGACTACCAGTAGGTTGCAGTGGGCTACCTTTTAGTAGTGCCCGGTATCCGAATTCGACTTTACCGCCGTTCTACAACACTTCGTTTAGATATTTTAATTAGTTAGTTGTGTTATTGGTAACTCTGAACGTATCTACTCGTAGACTCGCCTTAGTACGTGTTCAATGTGTTCTATGAAATCCCCAACGAAATACATACATACATACATACAAACATTTTACATACATAGGTATAGTTTTTATGTACTAAAAAGGAAATTAGCCCCGTAAACTCCGCGTGTCTGTAGACAGCAAACGCATACACAAAAACAAAAATAACAATCAACAAATACCAACTACCAATCCGGCTAATCCCGTAGTGATTTTTTAACAAATATTTTCACTCAAACACGCTTACATCAACTGCGTACATAGCAATACGATTAAAACGAGTTGCTAGTCGTTTTAGAATAACACAAATAGAGGAGCTACTCACAAATATTTAATCAGTTTTTTTTCAACTTAGCTACGCTAATCTTCTAACAGTTCCTGCGTTAAGAATTTTGAAATGTTCAAGCTTTAGAATTTCTTTAAAAAAGTTGCTTTGTTTAACAGTAGCATGGTTATAATTTTTGAAATAGAATGATGGTTGGAAGCGAAGATTCGAAAACAAAATGCCATAGAAAAATATTAAAAAGATAAGATTAAATTTTGCCAGACACCAGGAAGACCTGGAAATCAATTTCGATAAAAAGTGTCGATAGTTTTTATGCTTTTATTTGTTTTAATATAAAACTTACAATTTTACAAAAACTTTTCTTCTACACTCTTATTTTTTAAATCAGTTATTTTCAGTTTATATTTTACGTTAGTTTTAGTTTTCTTTCAATTTAAAATTTCTTAAGATAATTTTTATTTTTTCTCAGATTTTTTTTTTTAATTTTAATCTTTATTTAATTTTATTTTTTTATTTACTTGCGTTTTTTTAAACTTCTTTTAGTTTGTTGTATCCTTATTTTATTGTCTTTCATTTTATTTTGTTTTATTGAATGTGTTTTATTTTTTATTTTTATTTATTCCATAGCATTCTGGCATTTGTGTATCTTTTCTTATAATCTTAGCTCCAAACCATCAAACGTTACTAATCTACATACTTACATACATTCATATTTTTTATGTTTTAGTTGGTTCGTGAGAACGGCGACAGGAGTGCGGAAATTTTTTTTTTCGCATCTTTGTTGATCCGCTATCATGAATTTTTTACTTCAATCCCTAAATCTTATTTAACAAAATAATCATATTTGTTACCGCTTCAACGCTATAGAAGACTACGACCGCCCGCCACAGCCCCCATCCACGCCCGTCCCACCGCCAGACTATCAAACACAAATTACCGTCTCGATAGCGCCACCGGAGATCACTATTATACCGATTGGTGGCTCGTTGACTTTGTCCTGTACCGGCCGCATGACCTGGAGCAATGTAAGCGATTTACTGTGGCTCGTCATTGCTCAGCATGCGCTGAATTCTCCTCTATTTTCCATTCCTAGGTGCCCGTTTTCGTGTCTTGGTTCAAGCAGAATGGACGCCTACCCTATGGTGCTGAGGAAGATGGTGGCGTTTTGCGCTTATATGACCTGCAAATCTACGACTCTGGTGTGTATATCTGCCGCTCGGTGAACAATCAGACGAAACGCGTTTTCGAAGACCAAATTTCTATCACAATTACAGGTGAGTGAGCAAAAAATTGAAGTGCAAACAAAGAACTATTGATATTTGCAAACATTTTCTCTAACACGCTCACAAAAATGGCCGCAGCATATGCCAGTGAAATGTTGGCCCGTTACGGTAATGCAGCTGCATTTTCTCTCTACTCCCATATACTTCTGTTTTTTCTGCTTCACCAAACCTTCGTTTTAGCTATTTTCTAATGTCTTCTTTCCTTTTCGTCCCCTATTCAGAGGATTCCCAACGCACACCGTCACAGATCATCAACCTCCCACAAGTTGTCTCGTTCGAGGAGTACCAGCCCAACGAGATCAACTGCGAAGTGGACGGTCATCCCACGCCAACAGTCACGTGGACGCGCGTCGACGGCCAAATGTCACTGGAAGCGCACACCGACGGCTCTCGTCTGATCTTCGATGCACCACGCAAGTCGGACGAAGGCAGATATCGCTGCCAGGCCACGAACGAGAACGGCATCGATGAGAAGTACACGCAAGTATACGTGCGCATCGCCCCACCCCTACCACCACCACCGCCACGCGAACTCGTCTACATCGAACCGCCATCGTACACCGGCGAAACGGGCGATAACGTGCGTCTCACCTGCCAGCCAACCACCTCTATCCTGCTCGTCTACGAGTGGAACAAAGACGGCTACCCACTCTACCGTCAACGCAACATCGTCATTAGCGGCAATTCGATTGAGATTCGCGAGTCCACGCCACGCGACTCCGGCGTCTACACTTGCATCGGCATCGATCAGCGCGGACGACGCAACTACACCAATGATGCACAGGTTGTGATCGAGGATAGTTCATATCCGTTACCAGGACCGCAGCCAGGACCACAGCCGGGGACGTAAGTGACGCTGCAGTGTATATATATAAGGTTTTTCAATTACTTTAAATTCTACTCAAAATCATAGCATTGCGCCAGTTGTAAAACGCTTGCCAGATGAAAACCACATCGTCCAAGGACAAGATTTCACCCTAACATGCGATGCCACCGGCTCGCCCTACCCCACCATCAAATGGACTAAGGTGAGGTGTTGACCTACGGCATGCGTCGCTTTCCACAATCTCATGCTTCTTCCGTTGCAGGTTCACGAGGCCCTCGCCGACAACGTGCAGCAAACCGGTAATGTCTTGCGTATCATAAATGCGCGGCCTGAGAACCGCGGCATGTATCTGTGTATAGCCGAGAATGTTGCTGGCTCTCATGAATCCAACACTATTATCGATGTTGAACGTAAGTACCAAGTTGAATTAGGGACCAAATTAATACACAAATCCTACCACCAAAAACTGGCTGTACCACTCCGTAACACGTCACAATTCAGTCCTACAAATTACGAAACTCAATTAGCGCCTAGCCACCACCTACACATTGCCCGTAGCCGGTAAAAAGAATTGCGTGAACTAAACTAATTTGTCTTTTTATACGATTTCTTTCTATCTCTTTCCCCATTCGCCTAATTGTTTATGAAATTATTGGCAACATTTTAAATTTTTTCCCACTTTTCTTTCCATTGCATTAATTGTATTTTTTTTACAAAATGCAAGTTTACAAGAAAGGAGTCGGTAATAAGAACGTCCCCAACCACTTGCTCCTTATACTAATCTGTACAACAACAATGATTTACTTGCTTGCAGCACGTGAAAGACCAACCGTCGATATCCATCCGCCCGAGCCGCAAACGGTGAATGTAGGCACCGAGGCGATGCTTTACTGCAGTGCCAATGGCATACCCGAGCCTAGCGTACAGTGGCGTCGCGTTGACGGGAAACCGTTGTCACCACGCTGCAGGGAAATCAGCGCCGGTTACATAATGTAAGTAGACCGCCCTCCAGCCTATCAATCGCGCAAGCTAAACCTCCAATTATCTCCTCATAGCATCGGCGATATTCAAGTAGAGGATTCTGGCGATTATGAGTGCGTTGCCCAGAACGACGTTGGACGTGTAGCTGAGGTGCAAACTGTGCGCGTTTTGGTACCTCCGGAGATAACACTGGAACCAAGCGATGAAGTGCTCAGCTTAACCGAAGGTGACGAGCTCAAAGTGATCTGCACGGCCACTGGCGTGCCCAGCCCAAATGTGCAGTGGGTTGATGACAGCGCCGATCAACGCGCCTTGATCCCGGCCAGCACGCAGTTCAACCAGGCCTTCTTGGAGAAATACCGCATCGATCGCAATGACGCCAAGTCCTACAAGTGCATAGCAAGCAACGAAGCTGGCACCGCGGAGAGCTACGTCACCGTGGATGTACGTCCGCGCCGTGGCGATGCGTCAAGTGAGTAGTGTATTGAGGAGCAGAGCTGCGAATGTTAATCACACGCTGCTGCTCTCGCAAAATGTTTGCAGTTTTGTTGTTGTAATTTTGCTTGATACTTGCATGTCTTGCGCAGCGATCTCTTTAAGCGGCGCAAATAGTAATGGTAGTACTAGAGCAAGTTGTGTTTTTTCCGCGTTTCCAACGAACGTTTTACAAGCAAATATTTCTTTATTTCATTCCGCACAGACGACAGCGATGTGCTACGCAACCCATCATACCCATATCCATACCAACCACAACCGCAGCCGCAGCCACAGCCACAGCCAACGCAACTATATCCACAGCGTCAGCCCTCCTACGGACCGCCACAGAATATTTATCGTGCCAATGAGGGCGATGCCGTCACACTCACCTGCGATCTACGTAAGTATAGCGCCGAAAAGCGCTACTGCCGAATTCTATTTGAACACTATTTCTCCTTGTTGCAGATAATGGACCGAACTTGTCAACGCGTTGGGAACGCGTCGATGGGCGCCCACTGCCAGATAATTCGTACTTCGACCAAAACAGCTTGATCATCACGCGTGTCGAGGAGCAGAACAGCGGCAAGTACCGCTGCAATGCGTTGGACAACCGCGGCGCTGTAGTAACGTTCGTAATTGCCGAGCTGGTGCTAGTGCCCATTCCACACATCACATTCCACCCGAAGATGCCCATTGTGGTGGCACCCAACGACAACATCGACATCTACTGTGAAGTGACAGGCGAGCAGCCCATTGACGTCGCCTGGCATACGGACAACAACCGCCCGCTCACCGAGTAAGTTTCCTATCATAGTGCTTTCAATAGCTTAAGCTCAATTAGGAGGCTAACCGCGCACCATTTCACCTCCAACCATCCAACCGGGTGCTCATCAAACACTTTCGCTATGCTATTCTCTATATAATTGTATGTATCTTAATCTAACCCTTCTCAGCTCGGTACGCATTGATGGTCAGTACCTGCGCTTCGTCTCCATCACTCCCGCCGATGCTGGCCGCTACTACTGCTCAGCCTCAAATCGCTATGGCAATACCACGAACATGGCCGAGGTGGTCGTGAATCGCAACGGCGCCTATCGGCCAGCACCACGCGCGCAAGTATACGACATTCGCGAAGGTGAAGATGTAACGCTACAGTGCGATGTGCAGAGCGCACGCGAGCCTATACGCGGTGAAATAAGAGTAAGTAGTTACGTATATTTGCGCCTGTTCTTGCTTTTATTCGCTCTTTAATACCAACCTCTAATCTCGCATCCTCTCTCTTCCGTAGTATGAATGGCGTCGCCAAGATGGTCGTCCATTGCCACGCAACGCCCTGATACGTGACCAACGACTCTACCTACGCGGCGTTCTGAAACAGGATGAGGGCCGCTACGTCTGTGAATCCTACTCGACTGGCGGTGGCCGCTCACAGCCATCCTTTGTCGATCTGAATATCAAGCGTGAGTATTCTCCCTATCCTTCTCCCTACTATGGAAACGAAAATCGCAGAAGGCGACGTTACAATGTCCACCGCAGGCATTGATTTGCAAGAAAGGAAAATTATTTAAAAAAAATTTTAAACAGTTTACCAAAAAAAAAAGAAAATCACTAACAAGGAGCTAATTATGAAATTCACATTTGAGCATTAAGTTGAAGAAAAAAATTTGCAAGAAAATGCAAAGAAAAATGAACAAAGTTAGACGTACATATTTTATACCAAAAAAAAAAACAACGTTTCTTGCTAACACATTTTTAATGAAAACTACTTTTTATATATATTTACGATTTACTATTAATTTACCAACAAAACAAAAAATCAATGACAACTTTTGAATAGCAATTGGGCATGTTCAAGACGAAATTCGCAATGTGAGCCAAATTTCCACCACTGATTTTTCTTATTTAGCTGTTTGCCCCCGATTTAGTGCCACCCCTGTTTTAACTCCGTTATATTTACTTACATATTTACCTAATTTTATAGCTTTTATAGTTAGTTGACCAACTACACACACCGCCCTTGTAGGCAAAAACTCCCGCAATTCTAACCGTTTGCTAATTACATTTTTGTACAAAATTTTTAAAAATTCTAATACACCAAAAAAAACTGTAAAATACGTAGGCAACCTTATTCCATTTTGTAAATAGCATTAACCGAATAAGTATGCAGCCAAAAATGTCCCAACAAGATCACATAATTTTTGTATATATTTTGTATAATAGAATTTGTTAGTTTTGTAAATTTGAATATATTATTTGGTGGCGGGAAATTTCCCATATTCAAAATCAAAACGCAAAAGCACGCGCAGTTTCACATCTCAGACACAAATACACTCGCAAAACAGCCGAGACACGCACCCCGTGTACGAATTTCGAAGCGCTCACAAAATGTTCAGCGAATTTTCGTAGCGAAAAATAAGAACAAAAAAAAAAATACGAAGAACCCCTTTTCGTCACCTTAGTATTTAATTTTAACAATTTAATACATCTAATTAATGTTATTATTAGAAAAGAAATTAAAACGATAATTTCCGCGCAAAAAAGCATAAATTTGCATGCCAAAGTTTTACGAATGAATATTCAATACTGCCCATGCATCCACTGGGATCGCAGAACACCGCCGCCGCCCAGTTATCCTTGAATATCCCCACACATCCGTATCCATGACCGTTTTATATTTAAACCCCCAAAATACCCAAAAATCCAGTTTATTTTTAAGTAAAATTTTTGTTTAACTGCCCGTCGATGGAAATTTATTTTTTATTGTCAAAACACTCTATGTTGTTTGTGTTAATTTATCTTAATCGTAATTTTAATGTCAAATGCAACAACTACAACAACTGGCTGCCACTGAATATATTTTGATAATAATTTGATAATTAAGTTAAAGAAAATGAAAAAAACGAAAAGAAAATAAAACGAATAAATATACAGAATTTATTAACAATTCCACCTCTTTTTGATGAATTATTTTTAATTTGTCCTTCAAATTATGCTGTACCGCTATGCAGGCTTCCGATGTGTGCGCGTCGCGTTCCTTACGTAAGCTTCGAGTTTGAAAAACTTGCGCTCAATTGGAAGCAAATACCACTTTTGAGCGCGCTTTTTGAAGCTCTTTTTGTGGCTTGGTGTTTTCGGCACGCGGCCGCATACATTTTTTTTTTTGCTTTTTATTTGCCAACGCTTTTTGTGTTTATTGTTTTTTTTTCGCTGCTTTTTTCGCTTTGCCTGCCAAATATGTAGCTTTAATTTTGGTAGCGTATAATTTATTTCAGCAAATATCTATCGACAAATTTTGGTTGTGGATTTTCAAAACCTTCACTCCTCAAACTCCTACTCATCATCAGTGTTTTTTTCGTGTTTTTTTCGCCTCTTCGCACTCCACAATCCATGCTACTGCATATGTATCAGTGTTGTACTACTGTATTCATTTAAAAATTGTTTTTTTTTTTTTGTTTTTTATATATACACTTTTCGTCTTTCGACCGTTTATTCAAGAAATTCGCTGTTGCAAAACTTTTTTCGCTACATATTTCCCTCTGCGCATATATTCGTGTTCTTCCAATTTTCCACTGCACAGATTACACACATACACATATTGACACATACACTTTTACATTTGTATGCAGCTTTTATTTTGAGCAGCAAGCAACAAATATTTTCAAACTTATTTTACAATTTTCAATTTTTTTTTTTCAAAACTGCTGCGTGTTTCACATTTCATTATTGCATGGTTAGCATTGGCTTTGTATGTATGTATGTACATATGTAGAATAGAATCACGAGTATCCTGTCATTTTTCCTCCCCGTTTCATGCTACTTCTTTCTACAATTACTAACTAAACAGAATTTCCCCAAAACACGCATTCAAAACTTTTGTTTAAATTACAAAGCTTCGAAAGCTCGCCCGAAACAGTTATCACATAAGAAGTTTTTTCAGAAGGCAATTAAACGCTCTTAATTAATTTTGAGCTTTCACTTCATAAGCGCAGATTCAGTGTGATTTTTGAGCTTGCAGTTTTTATTGTAGATATTAAATATTACGCAAGAATTTTTTTGGTTTTTAAGCTTCGTTTCATTTTTATTTTATATTTGAAATATCCACTACATATAAAATATTTAAGGCTAAAAAGCTCTTTCAAGCACGTCAATAAATTGATAACTTCTTTCAAAAGAGGAAAAAATAATTTAGCTCTTAATTTCCTTTGAAATATCCCGTTTTTTATAGATGTCAGTGCAATTTTCCTCCACATTTTTGAAGGCTCAGATATACACGAAATTCCTCCTAGTAATTTCTAAATATTCTGAAAAACTTTAGAGCTTTCTGCGCTTAACGGTGAGCTTTATCAAACACGTGTATGGAAGTTCTTCGCGGTTCTCAGTATATTGAAAGTTTATAGAACATTGTTTTTAATACTTGCCTTAATTACAACCAAGTTGTGTAGTTCATCTCGAAGCTTTAAACGTTTTGAAGCTTTGAAGGTTCTGGCCATCAGTACTTTTTGCATTCACTCACCTAAAGTCATGGTCTCATTGTTTTGGCATCACCCGGAACTTAAGAAAGCTCTCATTTGTCTATCACATACCTCTACCCCTCTTTCGATCACTCTTTCTCTTTTCCCCTTTTCTATTCACCACAAACACATATCTTTGTAGGTATCTTTTTAAGTGTTACGTGTTTAATTTTATTTACTGTTATGTGTTACATACCTACATTTATATTTTACAAAGTACTTAAGCATCATTTGTTTTATGTATTAGTAAAAACCATTTGTAGTTTAATTTATGTTCGTTGTAAACCGTAAGTTAAGAGTAAAACATGAAATTGTATGTGTTTAAGAAAAGTGTAACAATCATTCTTCTGCCGTTGGTAGTAGCCATTTACGTAGCATCTATGAGTGTAATTAGTCAACAGTTGTTGGTCACAATTTCGAAGCACAAACGTAGTGTCCAGCCGAAGTTTTTTGATAGCAAAACTTTCACTGAAAGCTTATTTCTAATTGAGTGAAATCGCCTCTTTGTATTGCACTTCCGAGTCAGAAACGATTTCACGCCAATTACTTGAGCTTTGCGTGAAAGTGTTGCCGAAAGCTTTGATGCGATGAAAGCCCACTTAGTTGCGGCGAAATCGGCAACGATTTTGCTTGAACAAGAACTTTTGCTGGCATCCGAACTTAGTTGCAGTACCCACGTCACCGTTATGCCTAGTCAGACATACAACACATTGTATGTGCACCAACGTCCATAGCGAAAAATTCGCACACCTCATGTTCATGCACAAAACATCACACACATACACATACAACCACTCACTTGTATTTATGCGGTAGTGTGGCAACTGCGACGACACTCACAACGGAACCGGGTACCACCACCAACCAGCACCTTGTGCTAATCGTTAGCATATAAACAGTACAACCATACACCACCAGCTGTCTATGTTGCCCTCCCACTCACTCCCACTCTCTATTCACTATCACTTCACCTTTCGTGTGCTCACTCTTACACTATCTGTTTTTAGTAATTGTTTATGCACCCCCCTTTGCTCTTGTACTGTGTGTAGGTTTAGTAGATTTGTAATAAGTTAAATCAGTTCGTTATTTGGAAGAAAAGAAATCAAGACGAAAAAGTTTTGAGAGAAAAAAATTACGTATGCAGAATATCAGCTGAAAAATATAATATACAATTTTCGAGTTTTCTTTTTTGCGATAATTGCTAGTGATTTTTACAAAAAGTACAAAGTCAAAAAAAAAAAATCATTGCAAAAAAATATTTTTCTTCATTTATTAAATTCTGCTTTTTTATTTCTCTCTTTATCTTTCTTTCTTCTCACTCACTTCAACTCACTCTCTGCTACTACTATTCAAATGTGTTGCAACTTTTTCTGCCATACAAAAAAAATATGGAAAAATCTTTACATTTTTCAAAACATTACAAACACAAAAAAAAACAACAACAAAACATGAAATGCGAAAACCAAATCAATGTGTGCCACTCGCAAATCCAAAAACAAAAAAACATACAACGTCTCATTTTCACATACATACATACATACACGAACATCAACTCGTAAACAAAACAAAACAAAAAAAACAATGTCAACAAACAACAACACCATCGCTCCTCGCCACTTCGCAACATTCGCTAACATCAAAACCAAAAACAAACAAAACAAAATCAACAAATGCCATTCAAACACACAAATCACTCGAATGTAAAATCACACGAATCCATTAAATGAAACCGAAACGACACAACGACGTAACGGTATTGCAAACGGAACTTTTCGAAAACCCCCGAAACGGCGCTCGAAACACCCAAACGCGAATCGATCGCCCACACGCTCCGTAACGTTTCGGCATCGCTCGTTTGGCGCTGTAAACAGGAGGTTACAGCATAAGCGAGGTCCCTTGCGTGGTATTCTATATCTGTACAGGTGTGTGGAACCAAAATATACAACCTAGAATTTACTTTATTAGAAACGATGTTCGCTAGTGTATGTGCTCGTGTACCGAGTAGTACTCGTATGTATGTAGTTTTAAAGCAAGTGCTAAAAACGCAAGACGAAATTAAAAAAATACTCGAGGTTTTTAGAAATTTCAGTTTTGAGTCTTGTTTTAGTTTAGAAGAATATTTATGTTGTTAAAATTTAAGTACTCATTTAGAGCAATTCTTAGTTGGTATTGTAGTTAGTCAAATTGTTATCTTCAGAACTAAAAAAGAACAAAAAGCTGTAAATAAAATGCCTCGAAGTAGAAACAAAAGTTAACCCAGCCATTCCTTTGTAACATAAATTTCTTCATTAGAAATTTGTTATTCCTCATAAATGTATGTTTTTGTAGCTAGAAAACTAAAAAAATTTAATCAGAACATTTCTTTTTAATTCCTCGCAATATTTATTTGCATTATTTGAAAACCAGCTCAGTAGAGCTTACGAAAAATTAAATTGTTTTCAGTATTTAAAAAAAAAAAAATCTCAACAAAATTAAAAAATTAAATTTTTCGAAATGTGCATTCTTTTTCCATATGCTTCTCATAGTTTGTGGAAATTAAACTTTAAAATTTTTTTAAACTTTTTCCATATTTTTGAAATTAATTTTTTGATGAAAATTTAAATAAATTTTTTGTTTTTTTTTAATTGCTCGCAAAATTTATTTGTATTATTTGGAAAAGAGTTCTAAAGAAGTTTCGAAAACTTAAATTGTTTTCAATTTCGAAAACTTCCCAAAAAATTTTTACAAATTCAATTTTTCAAAATTTGTAACCTTTTTCCAAAAATATTTGTGCAAATTAAACTTTGAAAAATTTTTAAACTTTTTCCATATTTTTTAGATTAATTGTTTGTTTAAAACTCAAATAAATTTAGTTGCTATAAAGAATTAAAACTAGAAAATTAATAGCTAACTGCAAAACTGTTAGATTCTTAAATTTTTCAACACTTAATAATTTAATTTTCTATATTTTTCAAAAAATTTCTAAATTAAATTTTTTCAAAATTAAAATTTTGTTTCTAAACTGTTTGGTAAACTTAAAACTTTAAAATCAAAAAAAAAATGTTGGAAAATTTGTTTAAGTTATTAAATATACAAAATTTGTTTTTCAAAACTGTTAGATTTAAAATTTTCAACGTTTAAAGTATTCCTTTATTTTATTCAAGGACCGAACATAACAGTTATTGATGAAAACTGTCATTGAAAAATTCACTATGAAGGAAACGTTGTACATCTAAGTGATAAATACAATCGATTTCTTTTTTCACCGAGAATAAAATTTTAAAATAAAGTTTTATATGTAACGTTTATGCAAAATTAAAAAAAAAAATAACAATTATTTTTTGTTTTTATTTTATAAGTCTTATATGTCAATAACAATTATTTTTGATTTTTACATTATATATCTTAGATAATAGTTATTGAAGACTTTTATTTATAAAGGTCATTAATAAAAATCAGTCATTGACTTATATTTTTTAAGTCATACATACATACGTATAAAAGTTATTATCATATTTCGCAGTTAAGAAGGTGTTGGTGAACCAAAGTTTACTACGACTTATACAAATGACTTTTATAAGTACATATGACTTTTTCAGATTATTTAAATAAAAATCACAAATAATTGTTATATTGGATTTATAAAATAAAGATCAGAAAAATCTGTTATTTAAGGAGTAATTAAATAAAAGTAAAAAATAATTGTTAAAGAGCGATTTTTTCAATAAAAAATTTTCCAAGTTAATGTTTTTTTTTTTTGTTTTTTAGTATCGCTATCGCATTAAAATTGTCAATTTCTTTTAATGTTTTAAAGCATTCTCAACATTTTGTCATTGATAACTTCTTAATTTTTTAGTTTATTTAATTCTAAAACTTTTCAAAACATTCAAAATTCTTTATTAAAAATTTAATTGTTTTCGGTATTTTAAAAATTTTCCAAAAAATTTGTACAAATTAAATTTTTAAAAATCTGCAACCTTTTTCATAGTTTCCAAAAATATTGCAAATTAAACATTTACAAATTTTTAAACTTTTTCCATATTTTTTTAGTTATGTTCTGGTTTAAAACCTAAATAAATTTATTAGCTAGCAAAAAAATTAAAATTAAAAAAATTATTATTTTCTTTTAATGTTTTAAAAGTATTTTCAAAATTATGGCGCTTATAGATTTTTAATTGTTTTGTGTATTTAATTTTAAAATATTTTAAAATATTTAAAAAAACCTTTAATGTTTCCCTTTTGGAAAACATAATTTTACAGTAAACACTTTGATAAACATTCAATTAGAATTAATTTGTTAGACAGCATTTTTATTATTAAAAAAAATCAGAATTTTAAGCATTCCTATTGTAAAATGATTTTGCCAAAAACTGTTAGATCTCCTCCGGTATTTTTAAATATACGAAAATCACAAAGAAAATGCCGTTGTATGTATTACCCATCGCTTAACAAACCCAACCCTCATCCAGTTGTATGATTCTGTGAAGATTACTAGACGTTGCATCAAACCGTTTAAAGTAAATCTCTTACGTAGCAAGAAATACAAAAAAAAAAATATCCCACAAATTGTAGTTAAAAAGAAGTTATAAAGTAATTTAAGCTCGTGATTTGGAGGCGCCGGTAAGTGGAGATGCTTGATTGTCCAAAGCATCGCTTCACTCTTAACGCCAATCTACCGCTTAGCGGCGCCCTCATGCCACCCCATCGAGTCCATATGTGTGTATGTAGTTGTAGTGCTTCATCGATCGAGTATTTAGTAGCTTTGGTAAATGTATTTTTCATTTTTTCCATTTGAATTCATTTTCTTCGTACGCCATTCTTTCCTAATGAATCTCTTTTATTTTCATATTCTCTCACCTCTACCCCACATTTTTCCAATATTACGTTGTCACCTGCCCCTCATCGTTCTGCATCGCCCACCTCATCATAAATGGCCTATGATTTTTCGCTCCCTTCGCCTCGACTCCAATCGTGTCGGCCGGCGCCAATCCTTACTTTCGAATGCAATTCTGCCACCTGTGCGCCTGCGGTTTTACTCTGCGTGCGCATATATACAACGCACTCGCGTACACACACGCACAAAGATTTCAAACCCACCAAAGCGTTGGTTTCCAAGCCGCCCAACCGTCTCTCCTACGCCTGTCAGCCGAGCGACTTCAAGTGCGTCTCGCATCCGCACACCTGCATCAAGGCTTCCATGGTTTGCGACGGCATACACGACTGTACCGACCACTCGGACGAGTTCAACTGCACGCCACCTCCAGCACCGACGCAGCAACAGACGTCGCTTAGTACCTCGGGTGCAGTGCCGTCGTCCACGCCAACAGCAACACCGATCCCGACACCGCTAGCTGCGCCGCCGTCGCCGAAGCCATCGCACAAGCCGAGCTATAAGCGCTGGAAGAAGCGCCACAGCAGTCACAAAGAGCGGCGCAACAATCACACTCACTCACACAAACGCAAGCAGCGGCTGCGCCTGAAAAAACGACGCCACCTGTTGCCAACGCCCATTTTCCGCCCACTCGGTTTGTTTCGAATTACTGTGTGATTTTTCGTTTTATGTTGCGCACCTAAATTTGGATTTTTCTTTATTTTCTGGAAATTCCAACACAACCTTATTTCGACATTTTTGTTTTTAATTTCCACACTTTTTTGCCAATTTTCGGTTCTTTAATTTTCCTTTGTTTTCACTTTGACAAATGAAAAGTAGGAAATATGTATGCAAACGAGAAGACATCACAAATATGTACTACACATACTTACATATATCAAAGTAGATCATAGAAATGCATTTAGAATTAACTCAACTTGAAGTAGGTGGTTCCCTCTGGATAAAATAGAAATTAACTCGAGTGCTCTAGTAGTTATCCCGAAGGCCGAAATCGGTTGTAAGTAGATTTGTTTTGGTACTTCCCTACAGCACTGCAAGGAACCATGGAAAATTCACGAAGCAAGGCAAACACAGACCCAACTCACCATACACCCGAACACCCCAAGAACACAAAAGCCGATGTTAGTTTATTCGTGTTTTAAGGATTTTTGATAATGAATATTTTAATTTTAAAACAACAAATTCAAAAAATACGAGCCTGTTTCAAGTTTTTTTTATAACAATTCCTGAGAATCAATCTTTATTTTTCACTTCTAAAAATTAAGTTTCCTAGAGACTTAGAATTCATAAATTATTCATTTTGTATTCGGAATAATTTTTTGTTAATGTTTTATGCCAAATATGGCTTGAGGGTTCCTGAATATTTTTTTTTAATTATTTTTTTTTTGTTTTTAATACTAAATCTGGCCAACATTCCATCACCAGTAAGCAAATTCTGCAGAAAGTTATAAAGAGATTCCGCCCCAGACGATTTGTATAAATTTTAGCTTTCACTTTTTTCATCGAACCACGTTCTCGATTTGTACTATATCTATAAATAATATCTTAATGGAACACAACTGTAAATACTCTATAGCCTTAAGGTCACAGATTTCCAAGATATTCAAATAAATACAAATAATTTGTAAGTACAAAATTTTTATATTTTACAAGAAATCAATCAGAACGAGTGTGATGCATATTTGCTTAGGCGACAAGACGACAGGCCGACAGTTAATTAAATTTTTTTTATGGAAACTGATCTCTTGCTAATCTGATATGTTTTCGGGCGACATGACGACAAAGCAACAGGGCATTATGGCAACAAGCGACAGTGCAGCATGGCGACACATCAACTAGACAAAATTTATAGCCTGGTAGAGTAAATAGTGCGTGCTGAAGCTATTGAAACTGTGCGCACAAGACGACAAAGCAACAGCGCGACAGGACCGCAAGGAGACAAAATGACTTAACGTAACAACGCTTCTGAATAATAAAAGTGCATCGCATTCGTTCTGTAAAAAACCCACTGTATATTAGATAAAATCGGGCACGTAAGTCTATTTATTTACAAACATACACATGTTTGTTTTTATGTATGTATGTCGTAGTAGTAGTTACAAATGTATGTATGTTTATGTGCACTATATTGTCTTTAGTATTATTGGCTTAGATATATGTATAATATACATATATATGTATGTATGTATATATGTGTACAGGGTGTCCTAGACCACTCGTCCACCCCCTCTAAAATGAAGAGAAATGTTTTTTTTATTGAAAAACGCAAAATTAGACCTACCAAATCGGTGGTATCTTTTGGTGGTGTGACCGATTTCCGATTTCGACCGAAAGTAGGTATGGGATATACGCGTTTTACCAAAGAATCGGATTCTGCGTATAAAAGTACATAACTTTCGTCGGAAACTTTTTTCTGGAATGGACTTCCGGTTTGTTTAACTCACGTTCGGTCTAAACCGGAAGTCGGTAATACCACCAAACTATTGAAATTCCCGAATGTGGTAGGTCAAATTTTTGCGTTTTTCAATTTAAACAAAAAAAAAAACAATTCCCCCCATTTTTGAGGGGGTAGACGGTTGGTCTAAGACACCCTGCACAAGTTTGCGTAATTTGTACGTACATTTATACAAAAATATGTAAGTTTGTAGGTAGTTTGTATGTATGTAAATACTCACACGCACATTCACGACTACCTGACAACTAGCTCACATACATACCTTACTGCCATCACCTGCTCATTGCTCATTGCCCACCACCACTACATACACATACAGAACATCCGTTCACTGCATGCAATTTTACGTATCATACATACATTAATCCCACGCAAACATACAGATATGTATAACATTTTGCATGCGGTGTGCTACATTATCCATCAAATTTTGTATTTGGCCTTCTAACCACACCACTACAACCACCACCATTCAAGGGTCATGAAAAACTCCGTACCAAAATTTTGTATTAAAAACTGCACTACGCAATTTTTCTAAATTTTAATAAAATTTTTTTATTTATTTTTTTTTTTTATAAAAATCTCTTATTTGGTTTACTCTTTTTGCTTTGGCTTTTGAGTTTTACTCTTTTTTGGAAATTTCTTGCTGTTGTTAATTGTGCACAATTTGTCTGATTTTATTATTTTTGTTACTCCATTTGGATTGGTAGTAGTTAATTTCTCCTCTTCCATATATCCTTTCGATTGCCCGCTCACAATGCCACACACCACCTAGTCTTCTCTCATTTGTAAAATTTGTATTTTTGTATAATTTTTATTAGTTATTAAAAAAAAAATGAAAATGTTGAATTTATGTTCGAAACGAATCGATTTTTCAAAATTTTGCTAATCTTTGTATTTTCTCTACTTCTCCTCCCACTACCCCACCACCAAAATTTATCCCATCCATCCACTACCACAACAACAAAATCGAATATTCGATTTATTGACTCGACATCTGTTTGTCATCCATGTCGTTGCTACTTTGTGTGTTCGTTCAAAATGCAAACTCGAAAACATCTCAAAAACAACTCGCAAATGCGCAAAAACAAAATTGGTCAACAACCTCAAATTATTGTCATCAAATTGTTATCGATAACACATCGCCAATCGCCTTACTCGCCAATCGCCTTACTCGCCACTTGTTCATCGTCAAACATATCGACTTGTAACTCATTTTCAAAATTAAACCAAAAAAAAAAAACAATCAAATAATCGCAATATTCGAAACAAAAAACCATCAATCCAAAAAACTGCTGCGCAACAAATATAATTGTGTACGTTTATGTGTGCGTGCTTTGCTTTTGGCCTGTGAATTGGCGTTGCCACCTGTTTTGGGCACGCGTCTTTCGTATTCATTCACATAATGACTTGGTACGCTGATTGTCACCACGATTTGATTGATTTCTAACCACCGTAATTCAATATCGATACATTCCAATATCGATAACGAATTCGTGCACACACCAATAATCTTCGTTACGCACACAATCACAATAGCAGCGGAAGTGCCACAATTCCGTCAACCAGCCATACCACAACCCCTACCGGATCTTCCCACTCCACCACCGCCGCAGCAGTCACGCCCACGCGAACTGAGCCTGAAACTGGACCAACAGTCGTCGCAACTACGCGTCGGTGAGTCAACAGAGGTCGAGTGTTACTCGTCAGACAGCAGCTACACGGACGTCATATGGGAACGCGCTGATGGCTCACCACTACCGCCAAACATACAGGTATGCACTGCTACCGCCAATGGTTTCTTGACGTCCACAGCGCTTTAAACGTCTAATATTACTCTTACTACCTCTTAGCAAATCGGCAACAGGCTCATCATTTCTCATGTCTCCGCTTCGGATGCGGGCAACTATGTCTGCAAGTGCAAGACGGACGAGGGTGATCTATACACCACCAGCTACGAGCTAGGCATCGAAGAGTGGCCGCATGAGTGGAAACGCCCAAAGTTGGTACATGCCAACGTCGGCTCATCAGCACAGCTGAACTGTGATGCCGAACTGCCTGGCAGCTATCGCTGGTCGCGTCAGTATGGACAAATGCAAGCCGACCGAGATCTATTCAATGTAAGTTCCTTAAATTTTCACCCATAGCTCCTTTTTTTATCACTTCCATCTTCTGCTTCCAGGAGCGCCTCGAATTGCAGGATGTGCAGGCCAATGATGCCGGCACTTATATCTGCACGTCAAGCACACCCGATGGGCAGTCGGTTGACTATCCCACCATCCTAGTCGTTACCGGCGCCATTCCTCAGTTCCACCAGGAACCCATTAGCTACATGTCGTTCCCAACGCTGCCCGAATCATACATCAAATTCAACTTCGACATCACATTCCGACCCGAACAGGGCAACGGTCTGCTGCTGTTCAACGGCCAGAAACGCGGTAGCGGTGACTATATCTCGCTCTCATTGAATGACCGTTATCCTGAGTTCCGCTTCGACTTCGATGGCAAGCCGATGGTTATACGCGCCGAACGTCCAGTCTCACTCAACGAATGGCATACCATACGCGTGAATCGTTTCCGTCGCGACGGCTACATTCAGGTCGATGACCAACATCCAGTTGCATTCCCCACACTGGCGCAGATATCTCCGCTTGATTTGATCGAAGATCTGTACCTTGGTGGCGTGCCCAACTGGGAAATGCTGCCGCTCGATGCCGTTGATAAGCAAATCGGTTTCGTTGGTTGCATCAGCCGCCTGTCACTCCAGGGAACCATTGTCGAGTTGATGAAAGAGGCCAAACTGAAAGAAGGCGTCACAGCCTGTCGTCCATGCCAGCAGAACCCGTGTCAAAATGGCGGCATCTGCCTTGAGAGTCAAACTGAAATGGCGTATACCTGCATTTGCCAGCAGGGCTGGACTGGGCACAACTGCGGCGTCGAAGGCACTCAGTGCACACCGGGTATTTGCGGAAGTGGCCGCTGCGAGAACACCGAAACCGGTATGGAATGCCTTTGCCCATTGAACAAAACCGGTGACCGTTGCCAGTACATTGAGCACCTGAATGAGAACAGTTTGGCGTTCAAGCTCAATAGCTATGCCGCCTATCCGTAAGTAAATTTTGATTTGGCTCGGATATACTTTTTTACCTTGATTTCATTCCACTTCCTTAGCACACCACGCGCCTCAAAACTTAATGTGAAATTCAAGGTGCGCCCGAACTCGCTGCAGGACGCTGTGCTCCTCTACGCTGCAGAATCGAAATTGCCCAGCGGCGACTTCATCGCCGTGCTGCTGCACGACAAGCACGTAGAACTGGTAATCAATACTGGCGCGCGGCTGAACCCTGTGTTGGTGCGTTCGCAGAATCCACTGCCAATAAACAAGTGGACCGAAATCGAAGTGTCACGCCGCTTTGGCGAAGGCATCCTTCGTGTCGGCAATGAGCCGGAGCAACGCGCAAAGGCGACAAAGTTGGCGCGCATGTTGTACATTAAGACACCGCTATACCTTGGCGGCTACGATCACGAAAATATAAAACTCAATCGGGACGTAAATGTCACACAAGGCTTCGACGGCTGCATCTCGGGCGTAAGTTGGAATTAGTTTTAATATTCGGTTTGTTCCTTTTTAATATCGTACATTCTCCCCAGTTGTTCGAGGGCCAACGTCAGATTAATCTTATTGCCGACATCCATGACGCCGCGAACATCCAAAACTGTGGCGAAATCAATGAGATCCATCAAAACGAAGCGTTCGACAACTACGAACACGAAGCAACGAATATTCAGAAAGCCACAGGCCAACCAATCGAAGCGCATAGCGAGAACGACGAGCAAAGAGTAGACGCATGCGCAAGCGATCCATGTGAGAATGGCGGCACTTGTCATGTGCACGATGCCGAAGCCGTATGCGCGTGCCCTGTTGGCTACACCGGCAAGCATTGCGAAGAACGTAAGTACACGAGTAGACAAAAATTGCGCCTTTAAACTAACCACTGCCCGCTGTACCGCTCTTACTTGTAGACATAACCATCGAATACGATGCCAATTTCCATGGAAACGGCTACTTGGAGGTGGATCGCAATCAATTCAACACCGAGATCGAGCAAAAATACTCATTCGCGGCAATGGTCTTCTCCACAACCGATCCAAATGGCTTGCTGCTTTGGTGGGGCCAAAAGAAGGACGAGGAATACACCGGCCAGGACTTTATGGCGCTCGCCATTGTCGATGGCACTGTGGAATTCTCGTTCCGTCTCAACGGCGAGGAGACCGTCATACGCAATCCGGACAAACGCACCGATGATGGCCGTCGCCACATCGTACTGATCAAACGTACGGACAACACTGCCATACTGGAGTTGGACCATCTGCTGGACGCAGGAGAAACACGTCCGACGGGCAAGGACAAGATGAGCCTGCCGGGACATGTGTTCGTTGGTAAGTTTCCGGGTGCGAAGCATTAAATTACCGCGTACTGAACGACCGGTTTGTTTCATTTGTATTTTTTAGGAGGTGCGCCAGACGTTGCCAAATTCACGGGCGGCCGCTACACCAAGAACTTCAACGGCTGCGTGCGCGTCGTGGAAGGTGATGCGCATGGCTTAATACAACTGGGCACAGCGGCTATTAGCGGCGAGAATGTCGACACGTGTCCGCAGTAAGTAGATCCCCAAAAAGTATAAGGCTAATTATAAGTTAGTGGTCAAGTGTTTGGCTGTAAGCTTATTAAAATCGTAAGTCTCGCAAGTGCAGATATGTTTTAAGATAAGTGATTTGTATTCCCCCAACACATGCTGCTCCGATACGCCTGGAACTGCAGCAGTTGGTATCCGTCTAGCTTAGTTTATCACGACATAGATTTCATGGACTCTCGTTTCGATCCGTCGCTCTTCGACGAGATCGACCAACCGCCACCGGTGCATATACTCTATCCGCGTCCCACCCACGATCCGTACTACGGCAACAGTGCACCGAACGCCTACTCGAGGGCGAGCAGCGTGCAATTGGTGTGGGGAGGGAGTTGGCGGGTTTGCTCTCTGTGCTGCGACGACTGGATCTTGGCGCTGATAATGGCTCTAATGGCTATCTCACACGCAAGCTTGGGGTGCCTGTGCCGAAGCGAAACTTTGGAAGAAAAACGGAGGCACATAGCAAATGGTAGAAGGAAATAATCGTTATCAATGTATTCTTGTTGAAATATAAGCGTTTTCTTTTGACCCAAAGTAATTTTTAACATAACATTTGGTCTATTAAATTTTTCGAATAAGTCTGAGGAGTTGAAATTATAATTAAAAGTAGTTATTTTTAAGGGTGAGAATTTGTGCCTAAAAAGCGAGTATGGGCGTGAGGTTAGAATAAGCGATACTCCGAAAGCTCGACAACTACACACATACATCCATTCTACATTATGCTTGTATATAACTAACGTACTCACATAAATATTTATGCGCTTAGCAGTTAGCAGAAAAATAATAGTTATAAGAACAAAAAGTATACATCGCACGTTGAGAATATTCACGCCGTTGGCTTTTGTTGTTGGATATGATAGCTAGCTAATGTATAGGTATATTAAAGAATAAAATTCATACTATTAATTCTTACTTAAAAAGTAAATACAACATAATTATTGTATGTACATACTTAGATGTATTTATTAGAAAAATGTGCTAAAGGTTTCTATGAACAAAATTTGAGAATTGCCGTTAAAAGCAAGCAAGCAAATAGGATAAGCAAAAAATGTTGCTGCTTAAAAATTCAAACTAAATTAAAATTATTTTTAATTAAAAGTGGATTTTAAAGTTTGCAAAATTCTATTAACATTTAAGACATCATACCTTTAATGGTACAACCTCTTGTATGAAATTATTACTTATTAGCAAATGCCCGCTTGCTTCGCCTGATACGAAGTTTTGTGTTGGCCAATAAAAAAGTAGCATTGAAAAGCAAATGACGTCAAACTCTTGTCGTGGTATGTCAAGACAGCCAACGATAGTTCTTATAAGGACCCTGAAGAGCACATATGTGCATTTTCGGTTATAAAAGGGCCAAGAATCCTCGCTATTTCACAGGACGAAAGAATTTTCCCGTTCTTGGCTAAATGAGCTATGTGATATCATTCAAGTGAGGTCAATGATGTACCTACCGCTTACTGCTTGGAAGGATGTGGTCAAATCTTTCTTCATTCAGTGAACTAAGCCTCTGATATTAGTTGATAATTAGCATATTTAAGAGCAATATTTCCAACTTTTCAACGCAATTCGCTGACAAATTGAGAAGAATTAATATGCGTGGTCTTTATTAGAGCAATAGAAGCCAAATCAAAGATTTTTCAATTTTTGTCTGTCTGTCTGTATGTTTGTACGCTCATCACTCGAAAACGAATGCAGGGAATCGAACGCAGTCATTACCGATGTATTACTAGCAGGTCTAACTTAAAATATGGAAGGAAAAAAATTGGAGAGTTGCTACCTATTTGAAAATTGCTGTTCAAGTAAATTGAAAAGATAAAGAAAACATTGCAATGTGGGTGTCAAAAGAAAGGGGGTTTAGAAGGTTTACAGGTGAAAATATGTTTGTGAAGGATTGCCACCTGTTTGAAATTTTAATTTAATTCGATTGAAGAGATAAATATAACATTGCAATAAGGGTACCAAACTGACAAGGTTTGGGAAAGTTTACTGCAGTAAAATAAAACACCACAAAAATACTTTTAAGGCGCAGTAAAGCACGACGGGTATTTGCTAGTTTTGAATTATATATTTTAATATTGGTAATGAATTATTTTTCGGACTTAAATTGTTCAGTTATTAAAAATAAATTAATCTCAAAATTTAAAATTAAGTTAAAAAAGAGAAGTAACAAACAATCGGTAACGCTTCCGAAAATTCATTCGCTGTGCCAACAGGAATTATTTTCTCAATTTGAAAACCCTTTTCGAAATATATTGCATTGCCACGTCTGCTTCATAAATCTCTTTGCCCCCACTGATTTTCATTAGCGGTCAACCATTCCGCCTGAAATACTCTGCACTGGCTGAGAAGGTCAATTTTATTTTAAAAAGAATTACTTCTGCGTTACGTTGAAGCCAGCTTTTATAGGTCTGAGCAGTTGCTCAATATTTTTGAATGCTTGAAGTAATCGCTTAAATAGTATGAGGAAGTAATAAGTATTCATTTCATTAAGCGCCTGAAGAATATACACCGGCGGCACTCGAAATTTATGAAGAAAGGCAATGAGAGCAAATGCTTATCCAAACCTGGAGTTAATGAAAAAAAAAAAAACATTGAAAGAGTCCTAAGTTTAACATTATTGATTGAATCCAAATGCGCACAAGATTTTAGTCAATTTATATTTAATTTATATTTTCTGGTTATAAATAATTATTAAGAACTTATAAGCAGCCTATAAAGTTGTATATATGTATGTATGTATTTAAGTTATGAAAGTAAGTCAATTGAAAATAGTAGCGAAATTAAATTAGAATAAAATGCAAAAAAGTTAAAGATACCCAGTAAACAAATTCAGGAGCTAAAAGCCGTTCGAAAGTGTTCTGCTTTCGCTGCCCATGGGCGTGCTTTCAGAAGGGCTTTTGTCGAAGTTCTTCTAAAGCTGTAAATTTTCTTCTGGGCATAAACAAAAAATGTTATTTAAACCGCCTCAGATCGACTGGTTTCAAGCTAAGCAATGCATTTTCTAAGTTTCTCCAGCCAGTCGAAAATAAAACTTGAAACTATAGAAAATATTATCCACAAATAACTGCATTAAAGCTGCTAAATACTTACAACATAATACTTATATACAAATGTATATAAACAAAAATAATCTATATTGGAACGTAAGCAAATTATTATAGTCAAATATTCAGCATTAAATAGCAAAAATATTATAAATATTATAAACAATTTAAAATGTTTAAATACTATTCTGATTATGTGCTGTGAACGAGATCAATAAGTAATTTGTAAATTTTGCGAAAAATGAGGTTAATAGCGCGTTGTTAGTGAGAATTTTCTTATAAACTAGTACCAATTTTTTTTTTTTTTTAAATGAGTGTGAAGCTTTTTGAGTGACCACAGTGACGAACTCTCAGTTCGCAGTTAGAATGTTTTTGGTTGCTCGTAGAGTTAATTTAATTTTATCAAAAATATTTATTTTTATACCCGAGCGCACTCGTCCGTCCGTCTCCGAACACGTTAACTCGAGTAAGACCGAAACTTGGTACGCGTACTTCTTCTGCGCTAAGCACGGATGGTATTGAAAATGGGAAAAAATCGGGCAATAACCACACATACCTCCCATGTAACGGTAGTTTGCAGAAATACATAAAATTTATATTTACAATATCTTTATGAAAATTAATAATATGTAATATAAATTTTTGGAAAATAGCCAAGCTTAACTCGGTAGCGGGCTAAATTATTTCATTAAAGGCAAACCGGTTAGAAAATTCTGCATTCGTTTTTTAAAATGTCACACTCTTGTAAGACAAAACAGGCCCATCCTCTGTACTTTGAAGCTTTGTCAAGGAAATGGTTGCGCTGAAAATCAGCTAAATAAAATAAGAATATTTTTTGGAAGAAATGAAATTACCATCGGTCCAACTGAGAATAATATCTTATCTGTTCCCGTACTCCAGGATTTATTCAGAAATCGTCCGGACGGCAGTGATGGCAGGAGTAAAGAAAATTCGCTACCAGCAGGGACTTTCGGTTTGAAATTTTGTGCATAGAGAAAAGGGGACAGATTTATTATATGAAGCTAAATGTAGAGCATTTTTGACAAAATGTAAATTTACAAAAAAAAATTTTAATTGCCTAATGCCAATACGGATACAGAAACGGTGTTTCCAATTTTGGCTGATGTGCGCTTGAAAAAGCGAAATAAGTTGGGTCATGTCAATTTGTATAAAACGCTGCGCCCGAACTTAGACTTACTTGTTTACTTGTTATATTCTATTTTTAAATTTTAAACCTTTTAATTTTTACAAATTTTTGTTCTCGTTTTTTTAATTTTTCATTTTAATGTTCCCACTTCCACAGGGTCGAAGACGAATCTCTTGGCACCGAACCACCAGTCGTTTGAACTTAGCTTTTAAATAAAATATTCTTATATAAATAATTTTTTTATAAATATGATTTGTTCTTAAGTTACAACACGAAACCATACACAAACACACACACACACACACAAACGTGACCAATTGAGTGAAGTCGATGGCAAGCAACAAAAACAACAACAAAGGTGTAGTTTAAATTTTAACTTAAGTGCACTAAGTAACAACAATACAACAAAGTTAATTTTAATGAAACTTGTGTCATATATGTATTTTGCAATAATTTCTTAATTTGTAAGCTTAACCTTTTCGAAAAGAAAACGATTCCAAATACCAAAAAATCGACAACTTTCAAAAACTGCCCAACGCCGCAACTCATTTTTTTCCACTGCGTTGATTTTGTTTGTGCAAAATTCTGTGACGTACAAGCGGGAATTTATTTTTTAGTTTTAATTAACTTAAAGTTAAAAACACAAAAAAAAATACAAAAATAATAATAATAATAAACAAAACTAATGCGAGCAAAGTTAGATGTAAATGCATATCATTTACGCATACGAAAAAGAAAACATAAACAAAACAAAAATAGCCATTTGATTTTAATACTTTCACAAAAAAAGTTTCACAGTTGATTGAGTACAGTTTCGAAAGAACTTAGAAAGTCAAAATTTTAAAATCATTCATCACTCTATGAAGGTTTTATTTACAAATTCAATGCTCAAATTATTTTTTATAATTATTCCATAGGGAATTTTAGTTAAAAAGTCGTAGTTATTGAAAAATGCGCGCCAGTCTAATATTAAATAATACTAAACAAATTTCTATGTAATAATTATTTTTTCTACTTATATTTGTATGTAAAAGAAAACGTAAAAAAAACACAAAACAAAAACTCATAAAATTACCGTTATGTATGACAAGTTATTGTATAAAGCGTTAATAAGTACATAAATAAATAATTAATATTTAAATATATAAATAATAATGAAATGATGAACAGCGACTAAAAAATAAACGAAAAAACAATTGCAAAGCAATGTGCAAAAATAAAAATTGTTTTATTTGCGGAATCTTTTCCGCAGAAACGATGATTAGAATTTGAGCTCTGCAATTTTCTCATACGCAAATCCACTACCAATAAAACAGTTTGCGCACCAGAAATGC